TAATAAAAAATTGTAAATATTTTAAATTTTTTTGTATGTTTGTACTTTAAATTTTTTTATTAATAATTGTTTTTGAGGTTAATTGTGATCATTTTTTTAGTTTACATTTTTTAATCTTGTCAATTACTTGTTTTTTTCCAGACTATTTAAACTTGAAATACAAAAATACTTCTATATACATAAAAATGTGTGTAGTCAAGCAAAATCAGCAGTAAGCGTCAGATTAGCACTTTTAAGTCTGTTTTCAGAGAAGCGCTGAGGACAGCAGGCTGGGAAGTGGACAGATGTACTGCTAAGTAGATTATTGATGTGCTAAGAGATGCTCACAGAGAAGCAGAGCTGTTAATCTGCGTGTTGATGCCTGCGAGTCTAGGACGTGACCAGCAACCACTGCTTGCAGAAAAAAAAGAATGAGGCTTTCGTGCTTCATTACAGTCCTTGCAGACGCTTAAGTGTGATTTGATCAGTGTGAAATTAACTGTAAACTGAGACAATACAGCAAGGCTATGAAGAACAAGCAGAATCAGGTGTGGCTTCAACATTACGTGCTTGCTTACATCAGTCACACATGATCTATAGTGATTTTCATGTGGGCATGAGTTATTGTGTTGAACCTGCTCATCATGGGTAACTTCATTTGTCGAAGTGTGTTATTGAAATGGCTACCAGTGGAGTTCTGATGTCATGCAAGTGTTAAATTGAATTAAATTAAATTCAATTCAATTCAATTCAATTCAATTAAAATAAATTAAAATAAATTAAATTAAATTAAATTGTTCAAAATGTTCCCAGAGATGGGCATCTGCTGCATAAAACATGTGCTGGATAAATTGGCGGTTCATTCCACTGTGGCGACCCCAGATTAATAAAGATACTAAGCCTAGTGAATGAATGGTCAAAATGTATGACCTTAAACATACAACCTCTTCTGTATAAATCTACTAATTTAAATAGAAAAACTGCATAGCTTATTGCTTATTCCTTTGTTTTGTAAAATCTTATTTCAATTTGTTTCCATCACAATATCAGCATGGTATTTTTCATACTGCAGTATATGTGGCAAATTTTAATGAATTTAATGTGCTTTTGCTAATTTTCATGCACAATGTACAGTATTTTATTCCTATGTACACTTCAGGCCAGTTACTATCATGAGTTTTGTGCTGACAGTAATAGTAATTGACAAAAAAACAAATAATTGAGGTAAAAATGTACTTTTGAATGTGTATATATATATATATATATATATATATATATATATATATATATATATATATATATATATATATATATATATATAATTTATATATTATTTTTATTTAATTTTTTTGTTTTTAACATAAAAAATGTAAACCAAACAATAAATATGGTTGTTGCCATTTTTCTAATGGATTGTTAATGGAGGATGTCCTAAAAGCCTGCATGTGTAGATGTTACGGAGAATTCATAAAGCCGAATGTCTTGGAAATATGAGCACTGTGCTTCAGATGGTCATGGGCTGATTCTTAGAATTGTTTTGATTATATAATATATTATATTATATTATATTATATTATATTATATATGTCCCGATCAGGTTTTTTTACCCCTGTATCAGTTGATTTTAAGTACATTCCGAAACCTTATCTGATACTTCTATAATCGATAAAAAAGGAAAAAAGCAGAGCGAAGAAACAGATCCAGAATGCTTCTTGCTTTTTTATTTAATTCACCTTATTTTATTTTTTAACAACCCTGTTAACAAACTGAGCACTTCTGTGAGGTAGCTTGAACAATCAAGTAATTAATGACATCAATTCTTTACTTTTGAACTTCAGTGCAAAAGTAAATATAAAAAAATCTAATATAAAAACAAACAGCACCTCAACCTAAAATACCCAGAAGGCAATCCCAAGTTTACCTATCCCCCAGTTTGCTATGCCAATGTTGTCATCATCAACTTTATTATACCTGTAGACCACAGACATATTTGCGTTAAACCATATATATATATATATATATATATATATATATATTCGAGTCCTGATCTGGAGGTAACGTGTCCTGATCCGGAGGTAACGTCTGACAATGATCGAGTCTGAAACGAGTCTGAAACCGCGTGATCGGGCATTTCCGATCACATGATCGGATCTGGACACCCCTAGTATTATATTATATTATATTATATTATATTATATTATATTATATTATATTATATTATATTATATTATATTATATTATATTATATTGTATCAGGGGCGTTGCGAGGGGGGGGCTTTGGGGGCTTAAGCCCCTGATGTATTGTCAAAAGCCCCTGATCTCTTGGAATATGTTGCACTTAAATAAAAATATGTTGTATAACATTTATTTTGTTATGTAAGTACTAAAAATTACCACATACATCACGAACATTCCACTTAACGCAGCGTTTGTGTCAGGTAATTAAACCGTCAGCTGTTCAGCAGTACCTGTTTCTACCGGCAGGTGGGAGCGGCTCTGTTGTCACATGGTGTTAAAAAAAAAATCCCGCCACTGCACATCATTCATTTATTATTTTGAGGAGCTGAAGCTAATGAGGTAATAATACAACTCTTTCGCGAAACTGAATAGTTTTAACTACTGATGAAGCTTGTTTCCACAGTATAAAATGTGTGTAGTTTTGGTGACATAAAATAACTATAATCAGTAAAATGTGCATCATATCAATGTAAATACAAGTAAAAAAAAACGTAAATTGTACTAGCTTTCTAGATATCATATATTTATATGATACAGCAAGTCACATCTGTTTCTGTAATAGTTAAATCACAGTGAGTTTATGCATCTAGCTTATTATTATATAACTATATTCTACTGTAACATGCTATGTCAGTTTGAATCAAATTATAAATCGACTTTCTTATGAAAATACCTAAAATGGTTGGAAGAACACACAGTTGAAGTCTGAATTATTAGCCCCCGTTTATTTTTTCCCCCAAATTCTGTTTAACAGAGAGAATATTATTTTCAGCACATTTATAATCATAATAGTTTAATTAACTCAACTCTAATAACTGATTTATTTTATCTTTGCCATGATGACAGTAAATAATATTTGACTAGACGTTGTTTAAGACACCCCTATACAGCTTAAAGTGACATTTAAAGGCTTTAAAGGCAGGTTAGGGTAATAAGGCAAGTTATTGTATAACAATGGTTTGTTCTGTAAACTATAGGAAAAATATATAAAATCTTAAAGGGACTAATAATTTTGACCCTAAAATGTTTTTTTTTAAAATGTAAAACTGCTTTTATTCTATCTTAAATAAAACAAATAAGACTTTCTTCAAAAGGAAAATATTATCAGACATAGGCTACTGTGAAAATTTCCTTGCTCTGTTAAACATCATTTGGGAAATATTTAAAAAATAAAATAAAATTCAAAGGAGGGCTAATAATTCTGACTTCAACTGTATAAAACATTTATTGTTGCAGTCGTGTAAATGATCAGTTAAAGCCTTTTTATTTTTATTCAGATCGTATTTTTATTCTACTACAGCAACAGCTGGATGCCTTCATCCATATTAGGGATTTCCTAGAATGTTCTACTACTTTTGTGAAGAATATATATGGAATTTCTGCTCAAGTATGAATAAAACAGGCATTACATGCATTTAAAGTGCTACAATGCCCACATCACCCTATTTTGAGGAAAACTGAAAAAAAAATCCCTCTGAAGAAATTTAAAGTAAACATATTTCTAGCATATAGATCTTTATTTTTATTTTTTGTAGCCTTAGATAGCCTACTATTTTTGATAGAATTGTTATTATGTAAAAAATAGTAGCCTATTAAATATCGATATTTTGCAAGGTATTGAATTTAGAAATTCCATTATTTTGACAACACTACACCTCAGTTAATCACTCTGTCCAAATGAACATGTTTGTAGCTTTGTATCACATTAGATAACAACTCACACTATAAAAATAAATCATATTTTCAGATTTGAAGACATGCAGAAAATTACATTTTCAAAAAACAAACAGAAACTTCAAATCAGGAGGAGATAGGAGGCTCAAGAGGTATGATATGGCTCATAACAGACTAGTTTTTTTCCTATTTGGATTTTACAAGTCTTAAAAACCCTTTATTTATTATTAACCATTTTTAATCCTGTTAATAAGATTAGAATAGGTATATTAGTGCGGTGAATTAAAACTTCTTTTTTTAGGGGGGGGGGGGGGTTCTTTGGGGCTAAGCCCCTTATCCCTTTCGACCCTAGCAACGCCCCTGTATTGTATTGTATTGTATTGTATTGTATTGTATTGTATTGTATTGTATTATATTATATTATATTGTATTATATTATATTATATTATATTATATTATATTATATTATATTATATTATATTATATTATATTAGAAATTATTAGTATTAAGAAAATGTAAAAAATTATAACATTGATTGTTTGATGGTTGAATACTTTTTAAAATGTTTTAACAATAGGTTATGTTTGAAGTACAGGTCAAACAGATTTAATATTATTTTATTTTATTTGTAAAATAAAAAGATCTGCAGTATCGATATTACATTAATCAAATTGATCAAAATAAGTGTGTTTTTATATGTAAGGTCATTTCAAGATGCGCTAAATTTGATTTATCAAACTTACACTAATTGTGATTCAGAAATTCATTATCAATAAAAATACATTTCACTATGAAATATCCCCCAGTATTTTATTGTCTAATACCTAAATAACAGAAGACGAAGATGTCTGTGTATTATTGTGTCTGTGTCTCTAGGTGAACTAAGCAGCATTTGCTAAACTGGGCACAAGGTGTGTCATGCTCTTTTTATAGCAGGATGCAGATAATGGATAATATTTCACTTATTTGTTATCAGCAGCAGGTCGTTAGCCAAGACTGGCCTTGTAAACACATTTAAATTGATCTGTGTGATGCAATCTAAAGTGACTCATCTGGCTGTGTGTGTGATGTTGGTTTGTGATGAGAGTGTTTTTCATGTGTGTTTCAGAGCAGCTGGTGCTGGGGGCGTACAGAGAACCCCGTCACAGTTGGGACAAAGACTACGACCCAGTCCTACTCCCCCTGCTGGACCCGCTCGAGCCCTGCTATATCTTATACCGGCTGGACTCCAAAAACGCACAAGGCTATGAGTGGCTCTTCATCTCCTGGTCTCCGGACCAGTCGCCTGTAGGTTTGAACGTACGATTGTCAATGATGCTAAGCTGGAGCTGATAATTGTAGGAACAATGCATTCACTTTTTTACTCTTTTGAGTGTTAAACAACTACAAGCTAATATAATAAAAACTGTATGGACGTAAACAAAACTGGTCAAATTGAAAAATAAAAACAATCAACAAAATGAATAAAAAAGATTAAGCTAATAAAAGCTACAGTATTATCTTACTGATATCGATACAACAATTGTATAAGAATATACTATTAAAAATAACATTTCCAGAGGGTCCAAAAACATTTACAGATATAGAACCACTAAGTAATATTTATTGTTTGCTTATCCTACACCGTCTCAATATGTATTTTTTTTTTTGATAGCAAATAAATGATCATTTCCTGAGTGTGTTTTCATTCTTGGCTTCTAAGGCCTGTCATGAACAAGTAAATATAGCACTAAAAGCACCAGTAGGTTGCAGCATTCATGTGATTCATTCAAAACAGCTGATTTAAAAAGCGAACTGCACAAATGTCCTGCTCTGATTTTGTTTGGAACTGCTTTCTTTAGTGAATAGAACAAAAGAAAGGAAAATGACCCATACCCTACAATCTCAAGTCCAGTTTTTCAGCCACAACTGCTCCTGATATATAATATACAGGGATGACATTCTTTCAGATACATTTTAGTTTATTTAGTAATTTTTTTGTTTGTTATTTATTTAATTAGTAAATTAGTATTTTTCGAGCTCAATGGGATGACACTTGTTATACATAAATACAAAACTTATTTTTTTTTGAAGGGGGTGGGGGGTGTCTTAATCGTCATCAAAGCAGACGACCTGCTTCATTCTTTTGACGTCTTTCAGGGATGTAATTGTAGACCTACCTAGACTACTCTGTATGTAACATAATGATATTGTGTAGTCAATTTCAAGATTATGAAATCGATTTTAATGCGTGCGAGCCTGTGCACACTTTTTCCACGCTTATATTTGTTTGTCACGACCACTAGAGCTCTTTGTAGATTATAAATAAAGCCATGATGCACATTTGTTATTATTCTTTGCAAGTCATTTGTCCTTATGTCTTCGTTTAGTCAGTGCTACAGCCTAGCACCTCAAATTTAATACCTGAAAGTGTCATAAATTAAGATGATATTACAAATTTATACAAATGTTTTTTTGAATTTATCAAAACTATTTAAAACAGGGACTAAGCCGAATGAAAGAGAAAGTGAAAGTGATAAACTGTTATAAGCAAATATGATTTTTTTTATTGGTAAAGTATATTAGGCTACTCAGTTCAATTGGACAATATTTTTACAGTTCGAATTGTTGACTGACTTTATTTATCACATGGAATAAAGTTACTAAATTACAGATTTACATTAACATAACATTAATAAAGGCAGTACGCCGAAAAGAAAATGAATGAATAAATTACAGGGAAAGTTATATTCTGTGAACACAAGAGAACTAACCCAGTTAGTGGCGCTATCTAGCGGCCGTGTGGATCTGTCTGGACATTGAGAAGTATAAACCTATTAAATAAAACTTGTCACTATTAAACTGCTAAACATTTAAACTGATAAAACAAAAAAATTAAACTTAAATTTTGTGGTCAACAACAGATATGTAAAGAAAATAATTTATTACTCACCTTTGTCATTCCAAATGTTTTTTTTTTGCATTACCCCCTTATAACCAGCAGATCCTCAGTGTGCTACATTTCTAGTGCATCTGACCAGTGAATCCAGTTCATATAATCAATCAAATCAATCAGGGTATTCAGCATTCACAGTCAGTGTATTGGAATGGGTGGAAAACCACAAATTATTTTCCCCCAGCATTTTTAAAGGAGCTGAGAACTTGATAGCTGAGAAACTTTTATAGTTTAGTTTTCTAGCCTGGCGTTCACAGATTCCATGTATTGTTATCTTCTTAAGTGTGAACAGACTTTTACTTTTTTCTTCTTTTGGGGTTTTTCTTTCAGACTGTAGGGTCATTCTAAAAACTTTGTTGTTGTTGTTGTTTTATTTTACTTCATTCATTCATTAATTTTCCTTCGGGTTTGTCTCTGATTTATCAGGAGTTGCCACAGCGGAATGAACCGTCAACTACTCTGGGATATGCTTTATCTTTAAGCCGCAACCCAGTACTGGGAAATTGATTTTACTTAAATATTTCAATTACTTCAGTCACTTGCTATTTTGTTTGCAAAATTTGCTGTAAATTTTTGACCATTGTCTTGAATCTATCCAGGACATTCTTGCGATTCTTGCTACCATTTTTGTTTGAAAATGTAAAAAATCGAATTGTAATACAGCACATATTACCACACTATAGATGATTCATTCAGTAAACTGATCATCTACCTTTCACTGCAGGTCCGACAGAAGATGCTTTACGCTGCCACTCGCGCCACAGTGAAGAAAGAGTTTGGTGGTGGACACGTCAAAGATGAGATGTTTGGCACAGTTGAGGTAAGCAGAATGAGTTTCATTTCATTCATTCATTCATTCATTCATTCATTCATTCATTTTCCTTTGCCTTAGTCCCTTATTTATCAGGGGTTACCACAGCAGAATGAACCAAAAATCATTTTAGCATACAGTATGTTTTACGCTGCAAATGCCCTTCCAGCCGGAACTCAGTACTGGAAAACACATACACTCACATTCACACACATATTCACACCTTACAGCCAATTTAGTTTACCCAATTCACCTATTAACCTTATTCTACAATGCGGAAGTGTGTTCTTTTTTGCGATTGTTTTAGAACTTCCGATTCAGTTGCCTATGAGAAAAATGACTAGGAATAATAAATAGCAGAAAACGGTCAAACTACTTGCTCTACAAACAAGTGCTTGCATGAATATACAGACAAAGATGAATAATATAATAAGAAAATGTCATCAAGCAGCAAAATGAGCTGTTTTTAACGTCTAAAAATGAATGGGAGTGGGAATGAGTCTGCTTGTATGAGGAGAATAAGGTGAATAGTGCATGTCTTTGGACTGGGGGGACACCGGAACACCCAAAGGAATCCCACGCAAACACGGTGAGACCATGCAAACCATGCACACAGAAATGGCAACTGACCCAGCCAAGACTCGAACCAGCGACCTTCTTGCTAGCTCATATATATTTTTATATATATATATATATATAATAGTTTGCCTAATTTCTGTTATTTTCCCATTTAATGCAAGACATTATATGTAAATAGGGTAAAAAGTAAAAGGTAATTGGTTACATTAAGAACGGCAACCTTTTTTGTATGAGTTTTTTAAAGTGTTACATGTAAATATAAGGACAGTTCAGTGGCTCAGTGGTTAGCACTGTCGCTGGTTAGAGTCCCGGCTGGGTCGTTGACATTTCTGTGTGGAGTTTGCGTGTTCTTCTCATGTACATGTTAGTTTCCTCTGGGTGCTCCAGTTTCCCACGCAGACCAAAGATATGTGGTATAAGTGAATTGAATAAAATAAAATGGCTGTAGTGTATGTCTATGAATGTAAAAGTGTATGGGTGTTTCCCAGTACTGGACTGCAGCAGGAAAGGCATCCACTGTGTAAAACACATGCTGGAATAGTTGGCGATTCATTCTGCTGTGGCAACCTCTTAAATAGAATCTAAGCCAAAGAAAAATGAATGAATTACATTTAAATATGCAAATGAGACATTTAATTTGAAAATGCCCTAATTTGCATACAAAGCAACATTAGGTAACTTGTTTAATTTTTGTAATAATTTTTTTGACGTTAAAGTCAACAGCTTTTAGTGAAAATGTTGGAAATGTGTATTTATTAAACCACTATTCAAAAAATATGTAATAAAAATTCTAAAAATAAAATGTGTAAAAATTTTAAGGCAAGTAAGGCAAATTATGGATGAACAAGTCCTTCAGAGGAAAAAAAACTTTAAAATATAATTTTGGATGAAACTGTTTTTGTAAGTTCTGCTGAAGTGGAGATTTTTGGCTCAGTGCAAGAAAAAACAAATATTTAGAGAAAATAGCCTTTAAAATATGAATATAATTGAAATCTGCTGCAAATGGAGTGCTCTTAAAGTTTATTTTGGATGTTTTCTGTCAGTAAACTGAAGAAAAAAAACTATCAAAATCACAAAATCTCAAAACTGAGAACTGTGTAAAAAGTTCTTATTTTAATACTGTAAATCTGCTTTGAAAGTAATTCTTGCTAGCGTACCCAGAACTATGAAGACTAGTAATAGTCATTGGTTTTCTCTATTGACATTTTTCTTGGCTTGCATTGAGGGCGCCATAGTGACTGCAGCGTCTTCCGGTGGAATGTTTAGAACTTCCGTTTACAGCGTTTACAACTGATAACTTGCGCTCCGAAAATGGGTTTCAATAGCGTTTTGAGTGGGTTCCGGAGTGTTATGTGACAAACAACTTTGAAAATTGTGTGTTAAAGCTGTTATAATCTGTCAGATGTGGCTCAAGTGTGAGAGAAAAATGTTTCCTAGTTCACGTGTCTGCCACCAGAAATACAGTGTGCGTGTGCGTGTTTCCCCGGCTTGTTAGCTGTTAGCTGTTAGCTCAGCGGCTCTTCAATACACACACACACACACACGCGTACACACATACACACACGCAATACTTCACTGCATCATAGAGAAAATCAGATTACTGGCATATAACTTAACAGGTATACAATAAGTCATGCAATTTACAAAAATGACCAATAAAAGTCTGTTACCGATATTCTGCTGGCTGATTTGCATGTTCATTCTAATCCTGAGCTGTTTATGTTTCATTTAGTGTGTAGTATTTACCAGGGTTTGTGTTTTTCTGTTATTTCAAAATGTCACTTTATTTTCACTTTGTCACAGTTATTAAATCAGTGTGTTAGTGGGGCAGTACAGGCTATGTATGTGTGTGTGTGTGTCAAACATTTTAGAGAATAACATTTGTTTGGGTTAGGTATATGTTTGAAAAAAAGAGTGAACATGTTGATGTTAGCGATGTCGAGGCTTAATTTAAATGGCAGAAGATGCCGCCTTATAATGAGGAAAAAATGCCTCACAGCAGCTGTTTCCATCCTATTAGATCTCATTTTTTTAATTGATCATTCCAGGTGCTGCTGATCGACCACAATATTGGTAAAAAAATAATAAAAGCAGGTAAAATAGATTAAAATGATCATTTTAAAGCTGTCCAAATGTGACTGTTTATATGCATCAGCTGCCGACCAGAAATTCTTAGCATTCTCCTTGCACATACACGCAAAGCATAATGGGTAATTTTGCGTTCTAAGAAAAAGGTCTATACTCTCTACATAAACAAAATGGCTTCATGTAGTTTGTTTATACTTTTTTTATCCGTGTGAAGATGAATGAAGTTATAATGAGGGTCGTGCTGTTAAATGCACACGGTCCACCTGTCATCTGACTCCATCTGTCAGTCAGATACCCTGAAGCTGTGTTATTTACAGTTGAAAAAGTGTGCAGACTGGACCACCATGTTCCTTAATTTAGCAACTGGACACTTGGGGGCCGTTGGCAATGTTCTCGGAAATGATTACCAGTCATGGTCAACACACAGAGGACTAAATATATGCTGCGCACACACACACACACACACACACACACACACACACACACACACACACACTCACACACACATACAATACTGAACAAACAACAACAACAACAACAACAGATTTAACAGAGGAAGACGTATATATTTATTCAAGTCTGTTTATGAGTTTTACATATTGAAAGAATGGTTTCAAGTGGTCTAGGATTTAATCTAAATAGTATGTTTATAGCTTGTAATGAAATAACTGTTAATAAAAATGTTATATCTTTAATGAGTTACAAGATATAAATTTGGAATATTGAGAAAAAGTTGGAATTGCAAGGTATTTGAGGAGCTTAATGATATTTAATATATTAAACTCATTTAAGATATTTAAGAAACTTAAAGTTCTGAAAAAATGAGAATTGTGAGATATTAACTCTTTCACAAATCTTTAGCTTGCGATCAGGGGCGGACTTAGGGATTTGGCGCCCCTAAGCAATTCTAGTTATGGGGCTCTAGCATTTATGCAAAACAAACTGCATGTTTAAAAGTAGGCTTTTCCCCCCTCAAATGTTCTCAAAATTCTCACTCTTGCGGACTCCTATCTCTACTCTGATTGCTGGTAGACTGGCATAGTGTTGCCAACTCAATGAGAAGTCTCTACATGATGTCATATGTCAATTTGTTTCTGTTTAACAGCCGATGGTTAATAAAAGGGTATTTATATTTGCACTATGCTTTATATACAGTTGAGTTTAGAATTATTAGCCCACCTGAATTATTAGCCCCCCTTTTTATTTTTTTCACTATTTCTGTTTAACGGAGAGAACATTGTTTCAACACATTTCTAAACAGAATAGTTTTAATAACTTATCTCTAATAACTTAATTATTTTATCTTTGCCATGATGACAGAGAATAATATTTGACTAGATATTATCAAAACACTTCTATACAGCTTAAAGTGACATTTAAAGTCAGGGTTAGGGTAATTAGACAAGTTATTGAATAACAATAATTCTTTCTGTAGACTATCGAAAAATTATAGCTTAAAGGGGCTAATAATTTTGACCTTATAATGGCTTTTAAAAAATTAAAAACTGCCGAAATAAAACAAATAAGAAGAAATCTCCAGAAGAAAAAATATTATTAGAAATACTGTGAAAATTTCCTTGCTCTGTTAAATATTATTCAAGAAATATTTAAAAAAGAAAAACAATTCAAAGGGGGGATAATAAGTCTGACTTCAACTGTTTGCTTGTCAACTTAAAAGTCTGAATAGTCATTAGGTTGGCAACACTGGACTGGCAGTGTGTTTGAAGCACTCACTCTTTGCGCATGTGCAGTACGGACAGAAAGTTCCATTATTCATGGGGGCCCCTGGTTTTGAAGTATTAACAGTTATAGACAGATTTTACAACATATGATAGAAAATTCATAAAAGAGCTATATGATTAATACAGGCTTCTTGGCATTGGACAGGGCCCTTAATTCCCCGGGGCCCTAAGCAGCTGCCCACCTCAGTTTCTGGTTAAGTCCACCCCTGCTCGTGATTCTGATGTTTTGTTTTAAAACGGAAACTTTATTTCTAATATTTGTAAGGTTACGTCACAATTCAGAGTTGTAAGTTCTAAGAATTGTAAGTTTAAATATTTTCAGTTGTGATATAAACACAACTCATATCTCAATAATTATAAGAAAAAATAATTTCTGTTGTGTAAAGTGTAAAATATATATTCAGGACATTGTTATTCATACATTCATTCATTCATTCATTCATTTTCTTTTTGGCTTAGTCTCTTTATTAATCAGGGGTCGCTACAATGTAATGAACCGCCAAATTATCCAGCATATGTTTTATGCAGTGGATGCCCTTCCAGCTGCAACCGGTCACTGGGAACATCACATACACTACGGTCAATTTAGCTCACCCAATTCACCTATAGGGAAACTGGAGGAAACCCACGCCAACATGAGGAGAACATGCAAACTCCAAACAGTAATGCCGACTGAACCAGCCGAGGCTCAAACCAGCGACCTTCTCCCAGCGACTGTCTTCCTTCTGAATTAATTTTTTAGAATTCTTTGATGTTTTGTCAGAATTTAAAATTAATTCTAACAAATCTGAATTTACATCTGACATTTTCTGATATTTTGCCAAAACTGTGACTCTTGCCATTCTCATGTTTTTCCACACACATCAAAATTTAGTTTTTTTTCCTTAAAACTCTGTTTAAATTGTGTAATTTAATGCTTCCATTTTGCGATTTCTTTTTTTCTTGGAATTGTGGATATTACCTCGCAATTGTGAAATGATGATGACGCTGCAATTCTAAGGACGAGAAGTCAGAATTGCTTGGTTGTTGTTTAATTAGAACAGCGAATGTTGTGACAGGAAAAAAGTTTCCATTTGGATGATATTGCTAAACAACAAACATCATAGAAATAAGAAATATGACTTACTGTAAGATTAATAACCAACTAGACCTAAAATTTTTAATCAAAATTGAGAATGTAATGTGCTTATCATCTTCAGGAGGACATCTGTCTCCAGGGGTATCTGCGACACATCACTTCATGCTCAGCACCAGCGCCTCTGACAGTGGCTGAACAGGAGCTTCAGAGAATCAAAATCACAGAGGTAAGAAAACACTGCACATATCTGTCCATAACTATACTTATATCATAAGTGAATGAGTTCAGCTCTTTGTTTTAATATTGTCTGTGTTCAATCTTTGTGGTTACAGGGCAGAGTTAAACAGGTGAGTCCTGTGTAAAACACAACACTGTTTGTTTTAGATTTTACTTAATGATTGTAGTATAATATTTATTTTTATTTCATTTGTGTGTTGTTAGTAGTAATAGTTTGCAATATCATGTTATTTTCCATGAGAATGAAGTATGCTTTATCCTCAGAACCATCTAAATTTTATAGTTTTTTTTAAGGTTCACTTTCTTTTTAATAGTTTTTATATAATTTATATAAGAAAACAAACTATTTTACACTGTTATAAAATTAAATACTATTATTTTCATGAAAATTAAGTAATTTTATCCTCTTATCTACTTTTGTTTGTTTTTTTAATTCTCACTTTTCTCATTTCTACACTTTTTATTTAATGTAAAAGTAAATGAACATATATTTTACATAAAAACAAATACATTTTTTTCATGAAAATTGAGTGTTTTTATAGTAAAAAAAAAATGTTTAATTTAAGCCATGTCAATATTCTACTTCATTTATACAGGTTTTTTTTCTACTTTCTTCCGCGTTGGATTTAAATCATAAGCTGACATTTAAACAGCTGAGCAAGCATCTTTTAAACTTTAGATCTGTAGTGTCTGCTTTTTGCTGGCTGTATGTGGGCGGAGTAATAGACAAAGGGTAAAGAGGCTGTACGGGTGCTGATATTACTTATATATATCACGGCTATCAGCCAATCAGATTTGAGAACCAGACAGAACTGTTGTGTGTGTGTGTGTGTGTATATATATATATATATATATATATATATATATATATATATATATATATATATAAATTTGACTGCTGGACTGCTTCATAATGGATATTATATTTTGTAATAGTATTATTATTACATAATATTCCATTACTATAATAATATTATATAATAATATAAATGAAATACTATTTAAAAGTGCAAAATGAAGATTTCTAAGAAGGTTTCTTAAACAAGATACATTGAACTCACGGGTAAATTAAAAACAATGAAAAGTAAATTTAAAGTAAGTCAAACATAACAAAATTATCGCAAAAGAAAACAAAAATTTTTAAGTAGAATTCTTTTTAAAGCTATGAAACTGATAGTCCTTAATAGTAAACAAAAAGAAAACAGGGCTTTCTGGTAAAACAAAACATATTTCGGTGTCAAGTGAGGACAGTTCTAAACAGGTGTGTTGTGATTCAAATATACAGTCATTACATTCATTCAGCATATTACCACTCTGCTTTTCCATTTACTCTTATCCACCATCTCCACCCACATAAACATACTTTTCCAAACAACACAACTGCCATATAATAAGTCTTCCAGCACTGGATCATAGGAATTGTTTTGGAAAAAGGTTTTGATAGATTGGCTGGAACTGTTGCTGCAATACAAACTTTGTATGTGTGTGTATGTGTCTGCAGGTGAAGGCTGAGATCAGTGTGGACCCCAAACATCAGACTCTACAGGGTCTTGCTTTTCCATTACAGGCTGAAGCCAAACGTGCTTTAAAGCAGCTCGCAGAGAGACGCATCAACTACATTCAACTGGTACGACACCTTCATATTACACTGCCCTCCACTAATACTGGCCAATGAGGCAAAAAAAAAAGTTTGTTGTTTAACCTTTTGACTTTCGACTTAAAATACTGACAATTAAAGTTGGGGTGGCATGGTGACTTAGTGGTTAGCACTGTCACCTCACAGCAAGAAGGTCACTGGTTTGAGTCTCGGATGGTCAGTTGTCATTTCTGTGTGGAGTTTGCATGTTCTCCCCGTGTTCATTCCTCCAGTGCTCTGGTTTCCGCCACAGACCAAAGACATGCAGGTGAATTGAACAAACTAAACTGACCGTAGTGTGTGTGTGTGTGTGTGTGTGTGTGTGTGTGTGTGTGTGTGTGTGTGTGTGTGTGTGTGTGTGTGTGTGTGTGTGTGTGTGTGTGTGTGTGTGTGTTGTGAATGAGAGAGTGTTTGGGTGTTTCTAAATACTGGATTGCCGCTGGAAGCGCATCCACTTGCTAAAATATGTGCTGGAGTAGTTGGTGGTTCATTCTGCTGTGGCGACCTCTGAAATAGAGACTAAACCCGAAGAAAAATGAATGAATGAATAATTGAAAACTGAAAATGATTTGTTTTTATTTATTTATTTATTTTTTGAATAGAGTATAGGCTTTTTTATGAAACCCTTTCAAACATGTTTTGTTATTTTTGTGACGTCTGACTTTCTGACCTCAAGACCAAACTAAATTCAGCAATTCTCCAGCTGTGATTCTTGGACATTTTCTTTCCACTCAATTCTTCCTCCTTACGTCTATTCCAGATTGATTCATGACACTTTCTGGTGACTGGAATTTCATCATTATTCTCCGATTGGGTTGAAATGAGTTTGGGTTTTAATTTTGTGAAGCTTAAAATCCCTTTGCTTCCAATCCATAGGCTTAACAAGTTTATAAGTTTATGGGAGGCCTTAACAAAGTTTAAGGGGTCCCAGACCAGAGTCAAAGTCTTTTGTCAAGGCTGTGGATAAAAACAAATTTCAAATCGCCGCATTTTATTTGCATGATGTTATTTTAATGTATACAAATAGGTCAAATAATTGTTCATTAAAATTAGTTTGTTAAAAAACACAATTTAGACTCGCAAATCTCATTGGATGTATTTGTTGTTGTAATTAGTCATAAATACACTGAAAAAAAAACCTAATTCATTGAATTTACAATTTCTTTTACGGGTCAGTGGTCGCAACCAATTTATATGGGCTGAATTAAACAAGCAAATTAAATTGTTTAGTGTTCAACTTGTTTGTTTATATTCATTTCACATTTATTGCGTGCGACCGCTTATCCAAAATTTGTAATTCCAATAAATCATTTTTTTTTGTGTGTGTGTGAATTCATAGAGTTCTCCAACTCGGACTACTGCCGCAAATACTGACCACGATCAAGGCACTGGCTGAATTTGAAGGGCAATTCTCTGATGCAAAAAAATGAGCATGGCACGTTAAGCTGTGATCAGCTGTGACAAAACGAAGGAAGCTAGGAATTTAACAAGCAAAATGTCACATTTGTGGTCTAGTCAATTGTACATCACAGACGCATTCACCATGTGATGATGTGTGAATATTTTGTAACTAAAACGTTTTGTAACTAAAACAAAAAATAAAAGAAAATGCTGTCTGCTGATTAAAAACAAAATATACATGTTAATCCACTATAATGTCAAAAATAGCCTTTATTAAAAGGGTTCCCTCACATTTTTGTCTGTAAAAATACTTTAAAGAATATGTTTAACGTTTCACACAAGGTTGCCCCAAGCTAATCCCACTGAAGAAAAAACAATTATAAATAATTCAAAAAGTAGAAAGAAGATCTGAGCTTGTGGTCTGCCACGGTAAGTGCTCCCCAGGCAAACTCCAGCTCTGCTCCAATCACCGCTCTCTGTTCTTTAGTTGGACAGCATGAGTTATAGGATTGTGCAATTTCTCACTTGTTAATCCCTGTAAAACAAAAGATCATGCTTGAACAATTTCCTATTCCTCATCATTCAGGCGTATACCTATAGAAGTAGAAAAAACATTATAAAAAACAGAACAAGCTTTGTGATATTTATAAATTACAAAGCTTAGTTAGGCGACGCAGTGGCACAGTAGGTAGTGCTGTCACCTCACAGCAAGAAGGTCACTGGGTCGAGCCTCGGCTGGGTCAGTTCAGTTGGGGTTTCTGTGTGGAGTTTGCATGTTCACTCTGCGTTCGCGTGGGTTTCCTCCGAGTGCTCCATTTTCCCCCACAGTCCAAAGACATGCGGTATAGGTGAATTGGGTAGGCTAAAATTGTCTTAGGGTATGAGTGTGTGTGTGCGAATGAGTGTGTGTGGATGTTTCCCACAGATGGGTTGCTGCTGGAAGGGCATCCGCTGCGTAAAAACTGGTGGATAAGTTGGCGGTTTATTCCGTTGTGGCAACCCCGGATTAATAAAGGGACTAAGCCGACAAGAAAATGAATGAATGAATGAAAGCTTAGTTATTCATTTTTAGTGTTTTCTGATGCTAATGTGTTTCTCATAGATGTTTGTTTTGTGCCGATGCAAGGTAATTTTGTTCTGCATTAACTGCATCTCCTGTGATGTTTTGAATAGAGAAATAAAAGAAACTTTCTAACATATGTAAAATATGAATGGAAATACACTGTAAAAATATCTGTTAATCAACAGTATTCGTTTTTTTGATTCACACGTGTTTTCTGTTGTGAGTTTATGGTTGTGAATTGCATTATGGGAACTTGATCTCTGCTCTGTTGACTTTTGATGTTGAAAATTCAACTCTACAGTTTAACAAAGTGACTTTAATTGACATTTAGTCATTTGAAATAATGTAATGTATAAGCAATAATATATAGAGACATAAAACTGTACAAAAACAGAAAATGAACTGGCAAGCTTTTTGTACCAAAAAATACAACATCAATCCAGACATTATATCACTTGAAAGTAATAAAAATGTAAATAAAAGTCTTTTTGAACTTTTTAAATGTTTAAGAGTTGTTGGAAGAAAAATCAAGGTCCCAAAATGCAATTCAAAAGCGTAAATACATGGGGAAAAAACAAAAAACAAAAACACGAATCACAAAAATACAGATATGTTTTACAGTGTACATTTAATTTTTGTTTTGCTCAAATGAATTAACAGGGGTACAAATAACTGTGGCAGTGTTTTGATTAAACTGTGCTTTATTTGCATTTGGTTATTCTCAATAGAAGCAGAGTTGGTTGTTTGTTAATATCTTGAATAAAAGGAAATAAAGAATAAAAAGGATAAAGACAAAAAAAAAATCACAGCCTTTTTGCTCATTCATTTATTTTATTTTCAGCTTAGTTCTTTTAATAATCTGGGGTCACCACAGCGGAATGAACCGCCAACTTATCCAGGATATGTTTTACGCAGCAGATGCTCTTCCAGCTGCAACCTATCTCTGACAAACATCCATACACACTCATTCCCACTCATGCACTACAGACAATTTAGCTTACGCAATTCACCTGTACCGCATGTCTTCGGACTGTGGGGGAAACCAGAGCACCCGGAAAAAACCCACACGAATGCAGGGAGAACATGCAAACTCCACACAGAAACACCAACTGACCTAGCCGAGTCTCAAACCAGCAACCTTCTTGCTGTGAGGCGACAGCACTACCTACTGCGCCACTGTGTCACCCCTTTTTTGCTTATGTTTAACAATATTAGTGGAGAGCAGTGTATTTCTTACAACCAGATACTTTCTAAACAATCTGACCAGAAGTTATTGGTTTCTTCATGTAGAAGTTAGACACAGAGAAGGAAACCATTGACTTGGTGCACACCAGTCCAACAGACATCCGCGACCTGCCGTGTCGGATTCCTCTGGATACACCCAGATATCACTTCTTCCTCTACAAACACTCACATGAGGGGGATTACCTCGAGTCTGTTGGTCAGTTTCTCCATTCCATATACATATATCTTGTCTATATTCATTCCTGTAACTGTTATCTGTTGACACATCCTCCTCTGTTTGTCTCCTCAGTGTTCATATACTCTATGCCAGGCTACAGCTGCAGCATCAAAGAGAGGATGCTCTATTCCAGCTGCAAGAGTCGACTTCTGGATGAAGTAGAGAGAGATTTTCATCTTGAGGTGGCTAAGAAGGTAAAAACCATAGACTGTAAAAGATATGGATGTAGTAACTGTGACGTCACCCATAGGTTTATGAAGAACCCAAAAGAAGCTACCAGTAGGTGAGGCCAACCGTCGCCACTTTGTTCGCGTGTCATTGCACCAACCAAGGGATACCAAATATGGGCAAAGAGGTGGAGCGTACCAAGCTGTAAACACCCTTTTTTCTGTTGTAAAGTTAGGCATTCTAACTGTGGGCTCAATAGAAATTTGCACCATATGGAGCCAGGACTAGCGGAATTTCGATGAATTGCAGTTTCAGTTTCTTCCGTATTGGCTTCCCGCAGGAGAGCGGGAGGTTGCTGCTTGGTAAAAACACACTTTCTACAAGTCCAGAAGCTTTGAATATTTTTCCAGAAAAATATGAAAATTTCCTAAAAATGTTTAGTTTATGCAGTATAAAATTTTTTAGAAGGTTAAAACATAACATTCTTACATTTTCTTAATAACATTTTTCATAATTTAATGGTAACAGTAGTAAAACATTCTTAGAACGTTTATTTTAGCTGGAAAACTTCACTCTGTTTATTCACTTACCTAAATTCTATTATGTTTTTTAGTATTTTCTGTTAGGGATGTATTTTATTTTATATTAAATTGCATATTTATATATATAAATGTTAATGTAACATTTAATATTAATATTTAGAAGATTGTTTGCATATTTGTGAATCACATTTTTATGTAGACAAATATTTTAAGATTTGTATTTTTTTTCACTTACACACACACACGCATGCACGCACGCACGCGCACACACACACACACACAAACACACACACACACACACACACACACACACACACACACACACAGTGCTTAGTATAAATGAGTGCACCTCTCACAGGTCTCTCTTTTAATTTGTTATTTTCCACTGGATGCTTTAAAATAATACATGTATATGATTAGTCAGTTTTAAAGCCAAATCTGCAACTAATCTAACAGAAAAACATAAGATCCTAGTCCACAAATTACCTGACCAAAATTAATATATTGGGGTAAACATAAGTGAATTTTAATTTTAAAGTAATTTCAAGAGGCACATGCTCATGATTGACCCAGCTGGCCCACATTAGCTAATCATGATCCTCCAATCAAAGGATCCCAAATCACTATATATATATATATATATATATCTCCTCATTTCCTTTCTACAACTATCTTCAGCTGGAAGAAACCCCCCTCCTCCCCTTTTTCCACCTTTATCCAGAATGGGCGGCACGGTGGCCCAGTGACTAGCACTGTTGCCTCACAGCAAGAATACCAATAGTGTGGGGTCCTCGCTGAGCCATCTGGTATTTCTGTGCGGAGTTTGCATATTCTCCCCGTGTCTGCGTGGGTTCCCCGGTTTCCTCCCACCGTCCAAATAAACTCTAAATTATAGATAAGATAAGCCTAAAACTTTTTTTCTAATGTCTTACTCTCAGAAAGTTCACCTTGGCCTCAGCAGCGGGGGAGTTTGAGATCGACCTGAGCTCAATTTCCCCTTGCCTTGCGAAAGGGGGGAGCCCTGGGCCCGAGGACGCTCAGGGCTCTCTCCCGAGACACCACGCCAAACAAGCTATGTATAAATCATGAGCTAAGTGTGAACTCTTGAAAAATATAATAGTTTAAATATTGAAGTTTATAATTTTTCTTTGCAATAATTCATTTCAATTTAAATGTATTTTATTTTTTTCCCTAAAGATGTTTGTTGACCAAACTCTTATTTTAATGGATATAACTGTTTTGTTTAAATGCACCAAACATTGTTGTCTATATTCACTGAGAAATGAATAATAAAGGAGGTGTACTCATTAAAGCTGAGCAATGTGTACACATAATATATATATATATATATATATATATATATATATATATATATATATATATATATATATATATATATATATATATATATATATATATAAAATCATAATCTCATACATATACACTAGTCTTCTGTAGAAGTGGATCAAAAAAGTTTATTAAAACTGTCCTAAGACAAGAATGGTTGTTGTTTCAATAGCTTTAGGACATTTTTGATGATATACACTCAGCGGTCATTTTATTAGGTACATCTTACTACTACCGGGTCAGCAACAATACTCAGTAGTGTAGGTAGACTGTGGTGTTGACACCATGCTCAATTGGTAGTAATGGGCCTAAAGTGTGCCAAGAAAATATCCCCCACACCATTAAAGCACCACCAACCTGAACAGTTGATGCAAGGCAGGATGAATCCATGCTTTTATGTTGTTGATGCCAAATTATGACCCTACCAGACCAAATTATGACCCTATTATGACCTAGTGTTGCAGCAGAAATCGAGACTCATCAGACCAGGCAACGTTTTTCCAACCTTCTATTGTCCAATTTTGGTGAGCCTGTGCGGATTGTAGCCTCAGTTTGTTGTTCCTAGCTGACAGAAGTGGCACCCGGTGTGGTTATTTTCCATTTTTAAATGTTACAACATGGACAAAAATGTGTTGTGAATATGTGTCATTTCACTTTGACTTTACACACCTAAAAACAGATCAGTCCTGCATTAAAAGATAAATAAAATAATAAAGTGTTTATTAATTTGTCCATGTTCATTCCAGCTGGAGATTGACAGTGGAGAGGAGCTGACAGAGGAATATCTGTATGATGAGGTCCATCCTAAACAACATGCCCACAAGCAAGCGTTCGCCAAGCCTCGCGGGCCTGCTGGAAAAAGAGGAAACAAGCGTCTGATCAAAGGTGGAGGAGAGAACGGCGGAAACAGCTAGAATGAACACAAGAGAGAAAGAGAGATACGAACTTCAGTTGCTCCATGAACGTCCCACAGGTCCCTTTTTTCCACCCGTCTGCAGGTCATCTGTTCATCCTGCACGCGGAGAGAAAGAAAAATAACAATACTGTGCTCAGTTGTTTTTGTTTCTACTTTCTTTGGCTTGTATTTTCATTCAGTCTGTGTTACAGTAATGTGCATATAACAGCACCCTCCGCTAATATCGGCACCCTTGGTAAATATATCATTTAGCCTTTTGCTCAAAATATTAATAAAAATAGTGAAGACGATTTAGTTTTCAATTGTTTGTTCTCAGTGAGAGCAGAATTGTTCATATTTTGCACAAAAGTTTAAAAGGTAACACAATAAAGTTATCTTTTCATAGGCTTTTTTTGCTCATGTTTACCAGGAGAGCCAGTATTAGTGGGGGGCAGTGTATTTAGGAGACGAACTCAGGAAATTATTTTTTCTGTGTACATTTTAAGAGCATATTTTTATGTCATTTCGAACGTACTTGCAGACACACTCCAAACTCTCAGCATATAAAAAAAGGATTTGTGTTTATTAGCTTGCTCATGCCTTAAATGTGTCTTTCAAAGAAGTTTGTCCACCTTTTTAAACCCCAAAGTCCAAGAACCTGCTGCAGATTCATAGAAAACGACTCAACCATATTCACACACTTTCAGCCAAACCAAATGTGACACGTAGTCAGAATATTATACTCGGCTACGTGAGAGTCACTCAGTTTGTTCAGTAACAGATATGTCGCAATGATTGGATGTGTTAAAATATGCAGATTTAGACATAGATTTCTGATTTATTTTAGAATTTATGCGTTGTATTTTCGGGTCAAAGATGAAAAAGTCATTTTATATACAGTTGAAGTCAGAAGTATTAATCCTCCTGAATTATTAGAACCCGTTTATTTTTTCCACAGTTTGTGTTTAACAGAGAGAATATTTTTTCCACACATTTCTAAACATAATAGTTTTAATAACTCATCTCTAAGAACTGATTTATTTTATTTTTTGCCATTATGACACTACATAATATTTGACTAGATATTTTTCAAGACACTTCTATACAGCTTAAAGTGACATTTAAAGGCTTAACTAGGGTAATTAGGTTAACTAGGCTGGTTAGGGTATTTAGGCAAGTTATTGCATAATAATGGTTTGTTCAGTATACTATCGAAAAAAAATATTGCTTAAAGGGACTAATAATTTTGTCCTTAAAATGGCTTTTAAAAAAAATAAAAACTGCTTTTGTTCTAGCCAAAATAAAACAAATAAGACTTTCTCCCAAAGAAAAAAAAAATTATCAGACATTCTGTGAAAATTTCCTTTCTCTGTTAAACATAATTTGTGAAATATTTAAAAAGAAAAAAATTATTCAAAGGGGGGCTAATAATTCTGACTTCAACTGTTCATAGAAATCATAATAAATTAAAGTAAAGCGTCTACTTTAATACTTCAAGTCACCTTCGTGAAAATAAGTTGTCAAAATATGGGCAAAATTATAATTTGTTATAATTCAAGCCATTCTGTTATTTAGAAATTAATTAAATTTACAAATTAATATAAATAAAATTACTAATATTTTATCAAAATATATAAAGAAATAAGTGATTGCACTAAATTCATTATAATGTAAATGTTTAAAGACAACATGCTGACATAAACTAGTACAGATTATAAAAGACTTTATTCCTAAATACATCGAATGCTTCATCACGATTACTCTAAATATCCATGAAAGTATTTTATGTTAGTATATAAAGAATAGTTCAACATTTTATTGTTTCTTGTTGTGATGGCTTTGAGTAGAAGCTTTTGTTTGAAATCAAAACAATTCCAAACTCTTTTTGTATATCAAATCAAACAACAACAGCAAGCAGTGAGTCTAATGGAGTTTATGCACACAGACTTTAATCTTAGCCAGCCAGCCTTGGGGCTTCCGCTAAACTCTTTCCATTGTAAAATTGCCATGTTTGAGGTCTGATTTCTTTAAAAATGTGTTATTTTTTCTCCTGGATAGACATATGATATAAAGTTGGTCACAGATAGGACAAGAAACACTGCATTAAGTTACATTTTCTCTCCCCATGTCTTTAAAATATGAACATTAATTTTACCTCAGTGTTTTCAATGGAGTTTCTGTGCTCACCTGCTGATCCTGATGGCACTAGAAGTTACATTGCATTTCATCTCATTTAACGCTTGAACAACTAAATGAATGCTGAATGTTAAATGAAGTCTGAATTTAACTGAATGTATTGTAATTACATTACAACATTGATGCTGTAAAAGTAGCCTTATGAAATTGAAAATAGTCATAGTTTCACTGGAAGTCATGGCTTATCATGGCTGAAAAACACTGAATAATTATAAAACTAAAATTGCTTGCAATGTTGTGTCTGTAAAGTGTTTAATTGGTTCAAAGTATTTTATTTATAGAACAAAACTGACATTGATCATTTTTATCTATTCTTTTTTCTTTTATCTTTTTTTGTCATCTGATTATATTGAGGGCCACATGAAAGATTATCATAAATAATAAAAATTGTAATTAGCAATAAATGAAAGTCTGTAGCCCTTTCTTTCATTTCTCAAGAACTGTTGCATAAACAACAACAATTCCAATGTGTGTGTTTGTGTGTGTGTATGTATGTATGTATATGTATATGTATATGTATATATATATATATATATATATATATATATATATATATATATATATATATATATATATATATATATATATATATATATATATATATATATATATATATATATATACTTATGATTATTTCAATCAAAGTTTTAGTTATTTTGATTTGTTGGATGTTTATTTACTTTTCAGTAAACATATGTTATCATAATTTTAAAAAGGATTCTAATATTATTTTCTTTTTCATTTCTTTTTATACTTATGCTTTTTATCTTTTTTTATTAATTAAATTATTTATTAGCTGTCATTTATTTATTTTGTGTTTTTAATAGGCTTTTTAATTTTGTAGTAATTTTCTCCAAAACGTTTTTATTAAAAAGCCGTGCTGTAATGTACAGCTGAGAATACACCTGATAGCCTCTGGATGGCAGTAACAACACGTTCAGAAATGGACTCTCCGTCAGAAAAAAAGTAAACATAATGTATGAATGTACAGCTGCTAGAATGTGTCAAGTAAGTCATGAGGCGAATAATAAGCATTAAATAATTGAAATAGTTAAAAAATAGACGTGCTTTACCGCGTGCCAACAGGGTTTTCATTTTTCAGAAAAAAAAAGGTTTTAAGAAGCAGCAAACAAACGGTTAATTAGGTTGCGGCGGATGTGGGCGGGGCCTCGGCAGAAGGGAAGCACCTGATTGGTTGAGCTCAGGAATGGCGCTCACTTTTCCTGGAAAGTTCTTGGAACGTCAGCCGTGCGGCCAGTTTCACGAGAATCGCCGTTTTTGTCCTCGAACGTCAATCACAAACATCAGGAAGCAATTACCGACAATAAAACTCCCAAATGAGTCATTGCAGGCTCATTCCAGCGCTAGTTCGTTACTCACGAGACCACCGTATGCTAGACTGAGAGAGAGAATTCTGGGCATCGATTCTGTGGCTTTCGCGGAGGCGCGCTGCCGATGTCGTCACAGGCGCTAAACACGGGGAGATTCTCAGAAAAGCAATCCCGAGAAGTCAGACAAACTGAACAAGGCAAACCCTGCAGTGCTCAGCCTGTCGTTCAGTTTTAGGGCACGAGCTAAACAGAAACGCCGCTCGTTTTCGAGAAGCATGTCCGCGTTATCAACTCGAGCAGTTTGTTAAACAAATTGGCGGACGGGTCGCGCGCACTTGTGTGACAGCCAGAGACAGAAGTACTGACTGAGTGTCCGGACGCTCCTCACCGCCGCCGAGATCCGCTGATTTTTACAAGCCCGAGAGGGAAATCTCAGCATCAAAGAAACTTTAAGGAATCCGGCTGATTTCAAACCGGACATCTTCATTATGATATTGTGCGTTGAAGGGTGAGTTTAGCGACTCATCTTTATTACAAATTACAACGAGACATTATAATTTGTCTATTTGTTCATTAACTGAATATAACACATTTTGTTGATGGCAGTTAACATCCAGCGAGTAGACTCTTAAAATAAAACTAAGAAAATATATGTATACATTATTATTATTATTACTATTATTATTTAGATATCCGTCAAAGCATACAGTGAAACACATTTGTCAGTTTAGTGAACTGGAACCCTTTCATCCTGTTGAATGAGCTTGATTTTATTCACAATTGTATGTGAAATGATAGAGGTATAGTTGGTTTTATATTGGGATATTCAGACAATCTTAAAAATAATGTCAGAAAAGTATTCTTTGTAAATTGTAAATAGTGAAATCATATTAGCAGCAAAATACTATTACAGTAACTTAGAGCATTGTTCACAGTCAATTAGATAACGTTAGTGTTAATGTTTAGAAGGCATACTTGCATGCTAATTCCAATCGAATATTCAAAGTAACATGGTAAACAATATAGAGACTTCTAAATGAACGAATATAAACCCAACTTTACCTATATTGTGTAATGGATCTCTAAAAATTATGTAGTTTTTCTTTCTCTGTAGAGAAACTGAAACTTTATTCAAAAGCTGTGGATCACCGTTTCATTTCAATTTAAAAAGTTGAATAAACAGTCTCTGAATTGCTGTATGTTGCATGTTTTTATTTTTTAAGGCAAGTGCACATTTTCTATTCCTTAAAATAATTGTATTTTTCTTCCCCCAGCCCCAGCCCGAGAGCTCTTTTGCCTTTCTCTTCACCGAGACGCATTGACGAACCTTTTCTCACCATTGAGGACGCTAGCAAAGATTACAGGGCCCTCACCCTTAACTTCTCCTATCTGGATGCCTCAGGTAGATGAAAACAGAATTACTACAGGTCTACTAATTAGTAATAGTAATGAAAATTATAATAAAAATAGTAACCATTCTTTGATCTTATTGTTATTATTGCAATCAGAATTCAATCATAAATCCAAGAACTGCTCGAGGGTCTTTTTCAAATGCAAAATGACATTTTAAACGTTTTATTTAATTTGATAGTTCACATTATTCATAATAAAAATAAACAATACACCTATTAGTTAAATCATGGCAGCAGCAATCACTAAAGGATGATTTTGATGTGACAAATATGTTACATTTCATACATGAATGCATACATTTATAAGTACATCATATAATTATGCCATTATGCTTAGTTTTGTAGAAAGATCAACTCAACATCTGCATTTTACATTCCTCTATTTATATACATCTCTCCATGATAACTAATTTTTTCCCTCCTCCTTTTCCAGGTTGGTACTGGGGTGGCATCTCTGCCAGTGAGGCCCACTCTGTTCTAAAGGGGGCATCGGAGGGCACTTTCTTGATACGGGACAGCAGCCACCCTGACTACATGTTGACTCTGTCTGTTAAAACTGTCCGCGGGCCCACAAACGTCCGCATCGAGTACAGGCAATGTCGTTTCAGTCTGGACTCTAGCTCTCCAGCCAGATCTCACCTGCAGTCCTTCCCCGACGTCCACAGCCTCGTGCAGCACTACGTGGGCTCCAAGAGCGAAAAAAATGAAGAGAAGATGGAGGAGGCTCATCACGTAATTTCATCTGCACCCAAGGAATGCTCAGTATTGCTGAAACTCAAAAAGCCAATCCATTGTCCTCAAGGCTTTCCTTCTTTGAAGCATCTCACTCGCTTGGTCATCAACAAACACACCAGCAGCACAGAAATGCTGCCTCTGCCCAATCCGCTGCTTTACTATCTGCAGAATTACCCCTTTCAGCTTTGACGATGCCATCGAAAATGCACAGAATGGCCAATCGTGAGATGTTTTGAAGTAAATGCACAACCCCAACCTGACAGTTGGGTCATGAAGAAGCAGTGTTAACCACTTGAAGAAAGAGAGACTCTTTGTTTTTTTCTTTGACGGTCAGCAAGTCTCTCATGAGAGGCGAGTCTTTTTTTTCAGAAACTGAAGTCATGCTGTTAAAGCACGACAGGTTAAACTTACAAGCTTGGGGTCTGAAGGGTGAATTGGTGAAAATTCTGCGGCCACTTTAGGAACGGTTGGAAACACGGACACGCAGCTTGTCTGAAGCACATTCGTAACTTAGCTGGATCTCCAGAAAGGTGAGATTTAGTCACTGCGCTGCCTTGACTGGAAGTGGTCCTTTCCTCGGAAGTGAAATGCGGTGAAATGTTTTTGACTATTTTAATCAAGATTTACATCTTTCTTTTCTATTCCCACAATGTGGAGTTTGTATGTATTTATGGATGCAAGATCCTTTGGTTTTTTGTAATAAAAGGTGACAATCAAATTTAGTTGAAGTCATGATCCTTTTATCATCAGAACGGTGTCTTTTGGAACCACCTGGAAATATTACAATAATGAAATATGGAATTACGTTAAAAGGACAGATCACTAAAAAAACATTTAAACTGTCCTTGAATTCATCATTACTCATTTGAAACCTTTATTAGTTGCGTTCTTCTGTTAAACACAAGATATTGGGAAAAATATTGGAAACCAGTAACCATCGACTTCCAGGATATTTGTATTTCCTACATTGGAAGTCAGTGGTTACAGGTTCAGCTTTCTTCACAATATCTTTTGTGTTCAACAAGAAAAAGAAACTGCTTTGGATCAGTAAAAGGCGAGTAAATCTTTATTTTTGGGTGAACGATCTCTTTAAATGCTCAGGGTGATTTATACTTTTGCATCAAGATCCGCAAAAGATATGCTTCGGTGCAGCTTTCGCATTTGGCTCAAAATGTAACTGCAAGTCGCAACGTTGCGTAGTGCAAGCTCTGTGATTGGTTGGCTTGATAGCTCTGCAGTGGCGTAGCGGACGCACCGATCACTACATAAGCACCCTCGGTATTCACTTCGTGTGATCATAAGCCTCCAATCCACCCCACAACCCCCCTGGTGTTCATTCCTGGGGGGGCCCATGCATTTCGTGCTACGCCACTGTAGCTCTGACCAGTGTGGGCGGGACCGACAGCCGTGCAAACCCATTAGAGTGAAGGCTGATTTACACTTCTGCGTCAAGCACATGCGTACGCTCTGTCACAACTTTCGCATGATCGCATTGCCCTCGCCATGGCTAACGTTGACTCTGATTGGTCGGCTTGGTAGTGGTGACAAGCACGTGCAGTGCTGAGAGCCGCGAGCCCAATGGAGTGATTGTTTAAAGTGTCGAATTGCGCGAAACGGCTCTAGGTGGAGATTTTTGTTTTGTATCTAACTTATGATTAAAGTTGTTGTACGTCCGCCGGTGCCCGCCTCTAAATGAGCGAGTTTGAGCTACTTGTAGCATTCAGAAAAAAACAAAATACCCTTAAGGAAACAGCACAGAGCACCATAAAAACCTCACTGCCAGCTAATGTTTCGGAAGTGTTATTGCAGAGCAACACAAACAGCATGCAGAAGTATAAATGCACGACTACACGCGAGGCAGGCGCCGTGGGTCAACCTGATCACTCCATGCAGAAGTATAAACCAGCCTTTATACTTCTACATCACGTGCACGCATATGGTCAGGCACAGTCTTTGTGCGGTTTCATAGCCCTTCTGTGGTTGATGCAGACACTGACCTCTCGAAAAATGTAACTACACGTCACATTAGCCCCTTTCACACATACAGACCTTTTCGGAAAATTACCGGCAATTTTCCGGAAAGGTGTGTATGTGTGAACAGGCCCTTTTTGAAAATACCGGTAAATACGTTTTGGCTATTTTGCGAAAAGAGAAGTTGTAACATTACCAGTAATTTGCCGGAATGCTGCGCTGTGTGAACGCAAAAGGAAGATTGCAGGAAAGAGCGCGTGCACGTCTAGAACGTGCTGACGTGAGACGTCTGCTTTAGCCAATCAGAACAGTCAGACGCATTCACGTCCGCGCGGTTTATGAGAATAAAAGCCTTTGAATATTTTTTCAGGCACATTCAGCTGCTAGAAATTAGTCAGATAACGGTTATATGTTCATCTTAATGCCAACGGTGTAATTAATTATCGATAAGATGCTTATGATATGCCGTTGTTTACCTTCAAGCTCTGCGTGTGCCCATGAAACCGCCCGGAGCGCCAGCACACACACATATGCGAAAGTGTTTCTCTATACGTTTTCATCGAAGTTGTTCACTATACTGATCCATCCACAGAGTTTGTGGTGTAGTCAAATGTTTACAAATACAAGCGCAGCCGTTTAGAGGTAATTTCTGGTTAATGTCAGAATTTACCGGTATTTTGGAATGGATGAGTGAATGCTCTTTTCCGGAAAAATTCCATAACGTCCTCGCCTGTGTGAACATCACTTTTTTTAATTTACCGGTTAAGTCGTTCCGGAAATTTTCCATATATTTACCGGTATCACTGTGTGAAAGGGGCTAATGACTTGTAGTGCAAGCTTTGTTATTGGTCTGCTTGGTAGTGGTGACGAGCGTGCTAAGAGCTGCGAGCCCGACGGAGCGATTGTTTACGAGTGTCGAGTCTCATGAGGGAGCTCCAGATCGAAACTTTTGATTTGTGTTTACCTTTATGATTAAAGATGTGGCAAACTATGTTGCACGGCCGCCGGTTCCCACCTCTGAATGAGTGAGTTGGAGCTACTTGTAGCGTTCAGAAACAAACAAAACATCCGCGAAAAAGTAACACAGCGCACTATAAAAACCTACTGCCAGCTAGTGTTTCCAAAGTGTTATTGCAGAGCAACACAAACAGCACGCAGAAGTATAAATGCATGACTACCTGCAAGGCATACACCGTGAGACACGCCGATCACTCCACGCAGAGGTATAAATCAGCCTAGGTTTAGCAACTGAAGAAAAAAATGGGAGCATTTCAGGGAAAGAAACGTGGAGAGGGCAGATGCGATCCAGAGAATCAAACAATCAGGCTCACTCCTCTTCTTAGTACTGGCCTTCCAGCAAGATTGTCAAACAAGGTCATTCAGAGCTCTAATCTCACAATAATAGGATTATTAGATGAACAAATGTGCGTGAAATTGCTGAGCAATTTAGTTAATCAATTCAGAACAAAAAAGTGTGTCACACAAGATTATTAGACGGCGCTTGAAAGCATCCTCATTTATGGCCATCATTGTTTTACAGCCCAACACATCTAAGCCTAAAAATGGCTGTTTACATCTTGTAGAGATTAACTAAAAAGGAAGTTTAACATCTGGGGATTTGTATATAATCACAAGTCTTTTATAAATGAATGAGATTTGACTTTGTGCTTTCGTTTCAATGTTTCAAACATGTTTAAAAACAATGTGGGATTTTAAAAGCAGAACTGAGGTGTGGTGAAATGAACGTACCAAAACGCAGGCAAGCCTAACCAACTATTAATAATGAACAGTGAAAGATGTATACGAGAACAAAAACGGCATTGTATTTTTCATCCTATTTTCCTCCTACTGAATCATTCTTACAGCGCAACGTGATTAGTAATTCCCAGAAACTGAGGCAGAGCTTTTTCTGAAACTCGATCTCAGTGCTGCGCTAGCTTGCATTCATTTTCTACTGACGCAAATATGTAAATAACCGTTATATGCAATAACATGTAAGAGAAAAACTAAATCAGTCAGAATCATTTTAGCAGTCGCACAGCAAAAAAAGAAATCAGATTCCAATTGAATCAAGAAACAGTTGGTATGAATACAAATAATAAATCAAACATTAAAGTATTTATAATTATTTATTATGTCGTGTATTATAGAAATACAAAATGACTCGATCAGGGTTTAATGCTTGTTTCATTCCAGTTTACACAGATTGATCTTGCATTCGTCGTAGCCATGGAGCATGTCAGGTTATCAGTCAGTATTTGTAGGCTTTCTGTGTGTGTTTGTGGGCTAGCGTCGTGCTGCGAGAGGCAATGGGCCAGCTGTTTCGCAGAATGAGCGCATTACTTCCAGGGAGAGACGAGTGCAGGGCTGGGAGGGGGAGTTCTTAGAAAAGGCCTCAATAATTACCTTCAGCCTACTGCACCCTGACACTTACTGCGCACTGAGCACATACTCACAATCAATGCAATCTCACCACAACAAAACACACACACACACTTACCAATTTAAAGGAAAGTCAGCGTCGAAGCTGTAACAGCAGTAGGTTGTGGCACAAAACAAATAGAGACCTGTGGAAGGTGGATTTAAGGAAGGAGCTTCTCGGTAGGATTGGCAGGTTTTTGTGCTTGCTGCATGCTGGGAAACTGGCAGGAGACTGGCTCTGTACCACATGCAATTTGGCTAAAGGCATTCTGAATGGGCAACTGCTGAAATCTCTTGTTCTCCTGTGCTGTGTTAAACAATTGTCTTGACTGTATTTCTGAATCCTCGGTTTCAGCCATTTTCTTCATTCTTCTGTAAAATACAGAATCTCGGTCTGTGGATAAAACATAATAATAATAATATTATAAAAAAAATAAAATGATTGATTTTTTATATATATATATATTTTTTTTTTCCAAGTGCTATTTTATAGAGATCATTTTTTATAACATTAAAGTTCATAAATAATAACTAAATAGTTTTGTCTTTGCTGTAATGACAGTACATAATATTTTACTAAATATTCAGCTTTAAAAGCTTAACTTAATTAGGTTAACTAATCAAATTAGGTTAATTATAGGGATGTCCCTATCAGGGATGGGCAGTATTTAAGATACATGTATTTCAAATATAATATATTTAAATGGTGTTTTGTAATTTGTATTTGATGGGGTTTATGAAAATGGGGTAATATTTTGTGTCTTATATTTTTGTATTTTTAAAATACTGTAAAATACTTGGTAAGAAGTCTACATGATGACATCATAAAAATACAGCCTCTGATGGGTGATTTCTCAGTTATTTGCCTAAGCTTGAGATCAGAACAGAAAATTGATTAATATTGCAGAAGGTGGTCAATGCTTGGAGTATGGATGGAAATTATGCAACACACACATAAAGAAAATAACAGACAAATGACTACTTAATTTGGATACTTAGTTTGTTTTAATTCAACCCAAATAACAGGGTGAACACGTGGGTCTTAAAAAGTCTAATATTTCAAAAACTAAACTTTAAGTCCTACATTTACAGAAATATTGTGTTGTAGCTCTTGAATCATTTTAAACCGGTCTTAATTTTAAGTCTAAAGTCTAAAGTTGGCCCCCAATCGGGCCAACACCCATCTAATCACCAACAATCTAAATAATAAAGGAAAATAAAACTAAAACAATTCCACAGGATAATAACAGCAATATACCCCTTTACACACTCTTCCATTAACACAAAAACTATTAAAGTGGGTGTAATAAACAAAATACACAAAATAAAGTGAGTGGACATTTGTAGATTAGGCATGGAACTTAAAGTTTTATAACAGAATTAGGTTGAATAGGAGTCATACTCGATTTATTTGGACCTGCAGCAAACAAATATACTGTGTATATTTAGATTATTTGTGTAGGTGTCTTCATAATAAATACACTTTCAACAAAGTTAAACCTGTCTTTAAATAAAAAATAAAAGAAACATTATGTTTCTTGTTATGACACATTAAAATATGTGGTTAAGAAATAACTACATTTGTTTTTTCCAATTCCATTGGTCCAACCAGACCATTACAAAAAAATCCTTAATGTTTATCCCCGTATAAGTCTAAAATCGTATTCATAATGGTCCTAAAAGGGTCTTAAAAAGTCCTAAATTTGACTTGATGAAACCTGCAGAAACCCTGAAATTTGTTGTTTCCTACCATTTAACCAAAAAAAAAATAATAATAATCCAAGGAATCATCTCAAAGTCTTTTTTTCAGTGTACAATACTTCATTGTCTTTTTCAAATGTCAGTAGTCGATCTGCAGGTTGTGCATTGAAGAGTACAATTGCAAATATACATGATTATTCAGAAATCATGTTTTTATATTAAGTATTGAAGATTTCAATAGCAAAAAAACTATTGTAAAAATATTTAATATGGCAAAAAAAATTCAAATAACCTCTTCATACGTCGTCCTTTTAAAAGGCTGTTAAGAGAGTCAATTTTACTGGCCATGCAATGGATGGAAACATACTAAAGAGATATAGTACTGTTTAAACTCATTATCTGCATCACATGGCTTTTACAGTGATTAAAGAGATCATCTTCAAGACAGGGCTTTCTGCGTGGAATTTGAACAAAATTTAGAGTAAAATCACTATAAGAGAAACAAAGGTTGATGAATACCTCCTCGTGTACTGTAGTAGAGGTGAATGAGTTGGCAGAGAAGCTGACTTAAACTTGCTCAGAGAAATGCTGTTGCTGTCAAACACTGTTTACTTCACTGGGTCAGTTTAATGATGAAGGGATTGACCGAATAGTCCTATTGATGGAAGGTTTGCAAAGAAATGTCATGCTCTCTTGTGAAAGTATTTTGTAGTAGTTTCAAAATACAGTATTTTATTTTGATACTTGTGGCTGCTGTATTTTGTAGTTTATTTTAACACATGTAAAATTGAGGTATTTATCCCATCTTATTGTCATCATCAACTTTATAATACCTCCAGACCGCAGGCATACTCGCGCTTTCAGCTTCAAGCTGCTTCCGTGTTCTACTTTGCTGGCATTTTACCAATAGCGTCTCTGCAACAGAGTGATCTCATGTCGCACACGTTGCTGTTTCTGTGTGAAGTCAAGAAAGAGGTCTAACTCTGTGCCACTGCAAAACTGTAGATGTGTTAAAAATTGATATTCAAATCCCGATCGAGTCTGAAACTGCGTGATCGGGCCTGTTTACTGATCATGTGATTGGATCTGGATATCCCTAGTTAATAAGGCAAGTCACTGGACAACAGTAATTTGTTAAGTAGCCACAATCGGACACATGCGCTGAGAACTGTTTGACCAGGCGGTGAATTAAAGCTAATAATATTGTAAATAATGTTCAATTGCTTACACAGACCAAACGTTTCGCCTCACAAGACCTCAGTGTGTTATCAGGAGCCAAGGCTATTGATTTGGACTTGTTTGTATGTGTTTATTTTTTATTAAAAAAACCTGTCACCATTCACTACATCATAAGATAAAGTAAAATCGTCTTTAATGTTCTACTGAAAAAAAATCTGGACAGTTTTTATGCTCCTAACTTTATGGGTACAGTTTAGGGATGATCCCTCTCTGTTCAAACATGACTAAGCATGACAAAGCAAACAAGACATGGATGATTTAGTGTGGTGTGGACTGGCCTGCACCGAGTCCTGAACTCAACCTGATAGGACAACTTTGGAATAAATTAAAGGCAAGACCGTGAGCCAGAACTTCTCATTCAACATCGGTGCCTGATCTCACAAAATTCTGATAAACACACTCTTAAACCTTGTGGAAAGCCTTCCCAGAAGACTTGAAGCTGTTCCAGCTGCAGGAGCCATGGCTATTGATTTAGACTCATTTGTATATGTTTATTTTTTATCTAAAAACCTGTCACCATTCACTAATATCATAGGATAAATTAAAATCACATTTAATGTTCTACTGAAAAAAGTTCTACCTGTTCAAACATGACTGAGCATGACAAAGCAATTTTCATAAAGACATAGATGGGTGCGTTAGGTGTGGACTGGCCTACACAGAGTCCTGAACTCAACCTGATAGAACAACTTTGGGATAAATTATAGGCAAGCCTGTGAGCCAGAACATTGAACATCGGTGCCTGATCTCACAAAATTCTGATAAACACACTCTTAAACCTTGTGGAAAACCTTCCTAGAAGACTTGAAGCTGTTCCAGCTGCAGGAGCCATGGCTATTGATTTAGACTAATTTGTATGTGTTTATTTTTTATCTAAATAACCTGTCACTATTCACTAACATCATAAGATAAAGTAAAATCATCTTTAATGCTCTACTGAAAAAAGTTCTGTACAATTTCATGCTCCTAACTTGATGGGAACTGTTTAGGGACAACCCCTTCAATTTTAAACATGACAAAGCAATTTTCATAAAGACATAGATGAGTGCGTTAGGTGTGGACTGGCCTACACAGAGTCCTGAACTCAACCTGATAGAACAACTTTGGGATTAATTATAGGCAAGACCGCAAACCAGAACTTCTCACTGAACATCAGTGCCTGATCTCACAAAATTCTAATGAACACACTCTTAAACCTTGTGGAAAGCCTTCCTAGAAGACTTGAAGCTGTTCCCGTTGCAAAGGGTGGGCCAACCTCATATTAAACTCTACGGATTAAAATGTGATTTCATTAACATTCACGTATGCAAAGGCAGATGTCCCAAAACTTGTATGCATTGTCAAATAACACACAGACGCACAATTAAAACAAAAATACATCTACTACAGAAATCTGCTCTAAAAAAATCCTAAAAAACCCTCGCCTCCCCATGAGAACACGGAACAATAATAAGCTTATAACTTTCCACGAAAAACAAATACCTGAGTACATATTTGCTCTTTGCTGTTGAGCAAGAAATTCCGCATTACTCATGAAATCTCACTGTAACTGGACTCCAAGAACAAACATTCATAGAACGAAAACGCATCACACCCAAATATTTGTTTCTTCAAATCTGCCAAACAAGTACAGCAGAGCTTCAATGAAAATGCAGGAAACAACAAAAACAGGGCAGGTCACATTAACTGAAGCTCCTGACCTGTTACTGAGGTCACAGCGGCTTTCCAGATAAATGAACTCAGGCATGGTCTCCATCACCAGCTGCTGGATGACTGGAGGATGACATGAGGAAACTTCCAGATAAACCCGCCTGGACACATAAAGACAAAGCCGTTACGAAAAAAAAAGTGTGTTAGAGAGGAATACCACGTAAACAATCTCGTAAGCAGTTAGCCGTGAAGAACAGTAGTGTGAGACGGAAAATCTGAAAGCTAATGCTAGGTTAACCCCACTCAATGGAGCTTCCCAGTATCTGTGAAAGGACAGCACGTGTCACTTCTGCGAAAGAAACAAGTCTTGAGTGGACACAAAATTAGACACCCAGAGGGAAATCTGAAACCCTGTATAGACGGCTACAGGTTCATAGAGAGCAATGGCCTGCGATATTCTCTTTATCACTCATCTGTTTAGACAATGTAGACATACAAAATGTTTTCAGTTTTAAGATTTGGGGATTTTTGGCTTTTTCAGTCTGATGGAAAGAACATCCTAAATACACCATTAAGTGTTACTTTAAGTATTCTGAAGATTTCATTTCATTACAGGTTTTTTTAATGTAATTCTTTTAAGATTATTTTAAGAATCTTCTTTTCTTTTAAGTTGTTTTCTCATAAATCTACAATATTTAGTTTTACACAATTCTGTATTCTGAAGATTTATACACACAGATTTGTTCATACATAATTTGCCTGATTTTATAGATAGATTTCATTGTAGTTTTCAGACAAATTTTTGTGTATTTCCTGAATTATGCAGTGACAACGATCATCTTGAAAATCCCCTCAGTAAAAAACTTTGACTATTTTTTAAATATAAAAAAAATAAATTAAATATTAGAATTATTTATTGAGTGTTCAGATTTATCTGCTAAAAGTGTTTGCAAATTAGTGCATGTTTAAAGAGGTGGTTCATCAGCACGTTACGCTAATCAACTTGAAGATTTTGGCCTTTTGGACTTTTTATTTTTATTTTTTTCAGTCTGATGGAGAGAACATCCTAAACACACCATGAAGTGTTTCTTAAAATGTTTTCTAGATTTCAATTATAATACTGATTTTTAAACATCATTCTCTTCGAATTAGTTTTTTTTTCCGCTCCATAAATTTCCAAATTTCTTAATTCTACACAATTCTTTATTCTGAAGATTTATACACAGAGACATGTTTATACATAATTTGACTGATTTTATAGATTTGATCAAAGTAAGAAGTTTGAAACCCGAATTCGTCAATTGTTCCGACTTCTATGCTAGAAATGTATGCAAATTAGCGCATATTTAAAGGGGTGGTTAATCAGCACATTACACTAATCAGTTTTAAGCTTTGAGATTTTTGAATTTGTTTTGTTTTCAGTCTAATGGAGAGAACATCCGAAATACATCATTAAGTGTTCTCTAGATTTCAATTACAATACAGATTTATTAATGTCATTCTATTTAGTTTTTTTCCTCCATAAATTTCCAAAATTCTCTAAAATTCAATTCTGTATTTTGAAGATTTATACGCAGAGATTTATTCATACATAATTTGCCTGATTTTATAGATCTTATTCTAGTTTTTAGACAAATCTAATGTGAATTTTCTGAATTATGCAGTGATAAAAGTCATCCCCAAAATTCTCTCAGTAAAACCCTTTGACTCTAATATGAAAATAAATAAATAAAATATTAGAATGAAACATTAAGTTTTAATTTGTCAATTGTTCAGATTTCTGTGCTAGAAGTGTTTGCAAATAAGTGCATATTTATAGAGGTGGTTAATCAGCACGTTACGCAAATCAACTTGAAGATTTCGGCCTTTTTGACTTTGTTTTTTTTTCAGTCTGATGGAGAGGACATCCTAAACACACCATAAATTTTTTCTAGATTTTAATTATAATACCGATTTTTAAACGTCATTCCCTTCAAATTATTTTTTTTTCTCTCTATAAATTTCCAAAATTCTTAGTTTTACACTGTATACACTGAATACTCTGTATTCTGGAAATTTATACACAGAGACATGTTTATTCATAATTAGACTGATTTTATAGATTTTATTCTAGTTTTCAGACACATTTAGTGTATTTTCTGAATTATGCAGTGATAAAACTCTTCCCCAAAACCCTCTCAGTAAAACCATTTGATGCAAATATGAAACTAAATAAAATATTAGAATCAAACAAGAAGTTTGAAACCCGAATTTGTAGATTGTTCCGATTTCTGCTCTAGAAATGTAGGCAAATTAGTTTAACAAGATTAGATTAAATTGTTTAAAGAGGTGGTTACCCGGCATGTTACACTAATCAGTTTTAAGCTTTGGGCTTTTTGGCTTTGTTTTGTTTTTGGTCTAATGGAGAGAACATCCTAAATACACCATCAAGTGTTACTTTAAGTGTTCTCTAGATTTCAATTACATTAAGGGTTTTTAAAATGTCATTCTCTTCAAATTGTTTATTTGTCTCTAATGCACTGAGCCATGCATTTCCAAAATTCTTAGTTTTACACAATTCTGTATCCTGACGACTTATACAAAGAGATTTGCTTATACACAATTAGCCTGATATTACAGATTTCATTCTAGTTTTCAGACAAATGTGGTGTGTATTTTCCGAGTTAAACAATGACAACATATAGGGATGCTCAAAATAATCGATTAACCGAAAGTGCGCGTTTTTAAACAATTAATTTATATATTTTTAAAGTTTGGCTGCATAAGGAGCTGATCACAGCGAACGCACTTTTTGAGTTGAGAAGCAATGAATGGTTTACTAACGGCCGTGAGTGTTTTGCACGCTGCCAAAGAGTTTAGAATGACCAAGAGGCGGCACTCAATAGAATGTTCCATTGCAACAGCAGCGCCCAGCAACAACCCCACGATTCTGCCATTTTGGAGTGAAAGCGGTCGGCCGTCCATTGGATCTTATTGCTGTCGCGATGGCAAGCAGCTGCTTTGTTTTTAATTTATTTATTTAAAAAGCGCATTAACAACACTTACTATCACAATCATCAGCACTTTTAACAGTTTATTTTACAGACTTATAATATGCTGTTGTTCTATTGGAATTTTCATTCCAAAATGGTTTCCCAAATCGCACTAGAGTCTCTGCTCTTGGTGATTCTATGCTCTTTGACGCTGCACACACTGCTCACATTTAAATTTGTGATTCGTAATGTAATACGTCAACTGGTGATAAACATTAGTTCATATTTTAGCCTTGTCATGCGTACAGAGTTTACACAAGACCGGTTCTGCAAGTGTCGTCACTAAATTCTAGAACTCATCATTGTGTATGCATGCGTGCATGTGTGTGTGTGTCAAGAGTTATGAGGGTGGGGTGGAACATTACTGGGAGAATGTTTTGGTTCCTGGCATATACTGTTATCTACACAGTACTGCGTAGCGCTCAATTCCCTGAAGCGTTTAAGATATGCTGGGAAAGCTTCTTAGCCAGATTATACCATACTATTTATACTACATTTGGCAAAAAGGCTGCTTCTCTATTCATTCAGAGACGCTGCCAGACCACATTGATGGTTTTAGACAAACACACACTCAAACACACGCGTGTTTCTTTACTCACCCTTGTTTTGTTAAGAGCTTGGAAGCCAGAGCCAGAATGGGACGAATCACAAAGAGGCCGTCTGACCCTCCGTCCAGCGCAGCGTGGTCTTCAAAGCTGCCAGAGAAGAGGTGAAACTGGTGTAAATAAGAAGTTTAACAAACGCTAACATCAAAGATTTACCCTCCTCATGATGCTGTCGAGATTTAGCTGTCAATTTCGATGAGGATTTTTGTGTGAATACATCATTGCATGAAATCTGACAATTATCCATTTTAACCCCACTGGAATTAATTAAATAGCCTTTTATGAGATTGTGATTGAATGTTAGCATTCAGATGTTTGTCTGCAAGTACACAGCCTGACAGGAGTCTTGTCGTAGATCCCAGTTGTAAGAGCAACAAATAATAACTTGACTTCTAGTTGATCATTTGGAAAAGTGGCAGAAAGTACATTTTTCAGCTAAATCATCTGTTGAACTGACTCCCAATCATCACAAATACTGCAGACCTACTGGAACCCACATTGACCCAAGATTCTAACAGAAATCAGTCAAGTTTGGCTGAAGGAAAAATTATGGTTTGTGGTTACATTCAGTATGGGGACGTTTGAGAGATCTGCAGAGTGGATGGCAACATCAACAGCCTGAGGTATCAAGACATTTGTGCTGTCCATTACATTACAAAACACAGGAGAGGGCAAATTCTTCAGCAGGATAGCGCTCCTTCTCATACTTCAGCCTCCACATCAAAGTTCCTAAAATCAAAGAAGGTCAAGGTGCTTCAGGATTGGGCAGCCCAGTCGCCAGATATGAACATTATTGAGCATGTCTGGGGTAAGATGGAATAGGAGGCGTTGAAGATGAATCCAAATAATCTTGATGAACTCTGGGAGTCCTGCAAGAACGCTTGCTTTGCCATTCCAGATGACTTTATTAATAAGTTATTTGAGTCATTGCAGAGATGTACGGATGCAGCCCTCCAAGCTCATTCACAGTCATACATAATATTCATTCTTTTTCCACTTTTCGTAAGGTCAGACCTTACTGTCCTAATTAAATAATTAAAAATCAAGACATGATCATATTTTATTTTAGTAAAATAAGCTTAATTTAGAGGCCCTTACAATATAAGCCACTTCTTATAACAAATGATCAACTAGAGGTCAAGTTATAATTTGCTGCTCCCAAAACGTAGGCGAGAAGACTTTTGTCAGGTAGTGTATATTTTCTGAACACTTTTATTACTCATTTTCCTTTTACATGTTATTTTAATTTTTATTTTAATATTACTTGTTAATTTAATATTTTATTATTTATTATATTATTTTAATATAATGTAATATAATATAATATAATAAAATATAATATAATATAATATAATATAATATAATATAATATAATATAATATAATATAATATAATATAAGGCCGTACAGGTTAAATGTAAGTTAATGTATTTAATTGAATAAACAAACAGTGATCAATACATTAATTACAGTTTTAATCTTTGTACGTTATTATCTTTGTTAATATTAGTTAATGAAAATACATTGGTACATTGTTAGTTCATGTTCACTCAGTGCATTTCCTAACAAGAACTTCAACAAGAATGAATTTGGATTTTAATCATGTACCTGTATTAGTAAATGTTGAACTATGATTTAAAAATGCTGTACACGTATTATTTCTTATTAATTCATGTTAGTAAATACATTAACTTACATTAATAATTTGTAATGTGTGATAATATAATATAATATAATATAATATAATATAATAAACACATACATATATGCATTTATTAATAAAACATTCCTTTTTATAAAAATGTTATGTACCTTATCTGTGTCAAAATGGACCTGAATGCATTATTTGATGGATTACACACAAATTTAGTGAATCCATGTTTTTTTAAATTAACTAAACCTGGGTGTCAGCAGCATAAGCCTCAGAAAACAACAGACATTAATAAAAAAGTTACATTAATAATATTTAATACAATTATTCATTTACAACTCGCCAAAAAGGCCTCACCCGAATATCTCTGTCTGTAAAGCCTCCATGTCCTGACTGAGTATGTAGGGAGGGTTGCTGACAATAAAGTCAACAGGGTTACATTTGCTCAGGATCACATCTGCGTCTGAGAAAAACAAAACAAAACATTTATTCTGTCATATATAAAACCGATTTTGCACTGATGTAGCTACATTACCAAATTAGAAAAGAAAAAACCAATGGCCAGTCAGAAAATACAATCAAATACTACACTCACTGGCCACTTTATTAGGTTCACCTGTCCAACTGCTCGTTAACGCAAATTTCTAATCAGCCAATCACATAACAGCAACTCAATGCATTTAGGCATGTAGACATGGTCAAGACGATCTGCTGCAGCTCAAACCGAGCATCAGAATGAGGAAGAAAGGTGGTTTAAGTGTCTGTGAAATTGGTATGGTTGTTGGTGCCAGACGGGCTGGTCTAAGCATTTCAGAAACTGCTGATCTACTGGGATTTTTACGCACAACCATCTCTAGGGTTTACAGAGAATGGTCCGAAAAAGAGAAAATATGCAGAGAGTGGCAGTTCTGTGGGCGAAAATGTCTTGCTGATGTCAGAGGAGAATGGTCAGACTGGTTCCAGCTGATAGAAAAGGAACAGTTACTCAAATAACTACTTGTTACAACTAAGGTGTGCAGAAGAGCATCTCTGAACCCACAACACGTCAAACCTTGAAGCGGCTGAGCTAAAGCAGCAGAAGACCACACCGGGTGCCACTCCTGTCAGCTAAGAACAGGAAACTGAGGCTCTAATTCGCACAGGCTCACATAATTTCATCATGAATCTGCAGCAACTGTGTGATGCTATTATGATAATATGGACCAAAATCTCAGAGGAATATTTCCAGTACCTTGTTGAATCTTTGCCAAGAAGAATTAAGGCAGTTCTGAAGGCAAAAAGAGGTCCAAACAGGTACTAATAGAATGTACTTAATAAAGTGGCCAGTGAGTGTAAATACTAGCAATGTCGGGAGTTTATTTAGATGATGACTTATACATTACTATTGAAAGGTTTGACATGAAGAAAAATATTTTTATATAAATGAACACTCTTATTGATGTTTTACAGAGCAAGGAATTTTTCACAGTATTTCCTGTAATATTTTTTTTTTTCTGGAGAAAATCTTATTTGTTTTATTTTGGCTAGAATAAAAGCTGGTTTTAATTTCTTTTAAAATCATTTTAAAGGTCAAAATTATTAGCCCTTTAAGCAATATTATTTTTCAATTGTCTACAGAACAAACCATCATTATACAATGACTTGCCTAATTAACCTAGTTAAGCCTTTAAAATGACAATTTAAGATGAATATTAGTTACTTTATTAATATCTAATAAAATATTATGTACTGTTATCATGGCAAATATAAAAGAAATTAGTTATTAAAACTATTACATTTATAAATGTGTTGAAAAAAATCTTCTTTCCCATTAATCAGAAATTGAAGGATTGCTAATAAATCTGACTTCAACTGTAAATCAAAATAATCGACATTAAAGATATTTAGCTACAAAACATGTTTACATAAAATTGCACAGTCATCAATAAATCCAAAAAATCATCATGACTTCCTAATGATCATGTGAGACAAAAAAACGTGACAAACATTTTGGAAATCACTCTTGTGAATGGAAATATTACGGAATAAACACAACTAGGTGCTATTTGTATGTGTCTACAGTACTATGATAGCATTTGGTTTTCTCGTTTATATATACTGTACACAAACCCACATGACATCTGCAGCAGGCTAGTAATAAACACCGTCAAAAGGCTTCCATTTATGACTGCCAGCTCGACACTCATAAAGATCATTAACCAACCATTTCAGCAGAAGCGCCTTTTACAGCGTTTATACAGTAAGCCGAGAGCAATGGTTAAAGAGAAAACAGAGCCTAAATGAATGTGGGTAGGTCACAGACAGTTAAAAATCATCTGTTTAGCATTGATGAGGGCTGTTTTTAATGCCATCTAGCGGGAAGAGAAGCACAAGCTTTAACAGGAAAAGCCAGATAAATCCCTGGAATTAGCAGAACATTTCCATGTCACTACCTTAGAGGCCCTTCTAGGATTTGGGATGGACCGTCTGGCTCTCGATTATCTACTAGCATTGTATTCGAACTAATGCTAAATCAATTGTGAAGGCTGTGACAATAAGGCTATAAATTCTTAGTGTCCTCACACAATGGGACGTTTCATGGTGATTTAAATATGGGATACATGTAAAATCTGAGGTTAAAAAATGAAAAGGGAGGGGATTATAGTGTGGAAAATCTGAGGCAAATCAGGTGAATTAGGTAAAACAACTGACTAATAGCATCATGTTTTTCCTGTTGAGTAATTGCTTTAAGAAATGCTAGCTTTTAAATAAAAGTTATGCTTATATATGGAAATGGGGCATTGTTTTATTTAACATGTGCTCATTTTTATACATTTAATTACAATCTGAACACTAGATGAATTCTTTTCATTTTATTTCTGACATTCATTTATTCATTCATTCATTTTCTTGTCGGCTTAGTCCCTTTATTAATCCGGGGTCACTACAATGGAATGAACCGCCAACTTATCCAGCACATTTTTACGCAGCCCTTTTAGCCGCAACCCTTCTCTGGGAAATTATTTCTGACATATTAGATATTATTTTTTATTTACTACATTTTTATGAGAACATAAGTAGTAGAAGAGAACAAAATACTATAAAGAAGAGTAAAATAAAAATATGCAGTAAATTTGAACGCTTAAGGTGTCAAATGTACCATTCACACAGTTTTTTCTAAATATAGTTACAAGAAAGTGGTGGCTTAGTGGTTACCACTATTGTCTCACAGCAAGAAGGTTGCAGGGTCGAGTTCCGAGGTGGCATTTCTGTGTGGAGTTTGCATGTTCTTCCTGTGTTGGTGTGGGTTTCCTCCGGGTGCTCCAGTTTCCCCCACAGTCCAAAGACATGCAGTATAACTGAATTGGCCATACGGTATAAATGTGGGTGTGTATGTGTGTTTTCTAGTACTGAAAGGGCATCTACTGTGTAAAACGTGGCGGAATAGTTAGCGGTTCATTCCGCTGTGGCGACCCCTGATAAATAAGGGACTAAGCCAAGTTATTTGATTATTATAGTATTTTAATACCCTATTCTCATAATACACTAACCGGCCACTTTATTAGGTACACCTGTACAACTGCTTGTTAATGCACATTTCTAATCAGCCAATCACATGGCAGCAACTTAATGCATTTAGGCATGTAGACATGGTCAAGACAATCTGCTGCAGTTCAAACAAAGCATCAGAATGGGGAAGGAAGGTGATTTAAGTGCCTTTGAACGAGGCATGGTTGTTGTTGCTAGACGGGCTGGTCTGAGAATTTCAGAAACTGCTGATCAACTGGCACTTTCACTGGTCCGAATGGTCCGAAAAGAGAAAATATCCAGTTACAACCGAGGTATGAAAAAGAGTATTTCTGAATGCACAACATGTCCAACCTTGAGGCAGATGGGCTACAGCAGCAGAAGACCACACTGGATGCCACTACTGTCAGCTAGGAACAATAAACTGAGGCTACAATCCACACAGGCTCACCAAAATTGGACAACAGAAGATTGGAAAATTGTTGCCTGGTCTGACAAGTCTCGATTTCTGCTGCAACACTCAGATGGTAGGGTCATAATTTAGCATCAACAACATGAAAGCATGGATCCATGCTGCCTTGTATCAACAGTTCAGACTGGTGGTATTGGTGTAATGGCGTGGGGGATATTTTCTTGGCACACTTTGGGCCCATTACTACCAATTAAGCATGGTGTCAACACCACAGCCTACCTAAGTATTGTTGCTGACCATGTCCATCCCTTTATGACCACAGTGTATCCATCTTCTGATGGCTACTTCCAGTAGGATAACTCGATGTGTCATAAAGCATGAATCATCTCAGACTGGTTTCTTGAACATGACAATGAGTTCACTGTACTCAAATGGCCTCCACAGTCACCAGATCTCAATCCAATAGAGCACCTTTTGGATGCAGTAAAACGGGAGATTCGTATCATGGAAGTGCAGACAACAAATCTGCAGCAACTGTGTGATGTGTAACATAGGCCAGCTAGTAAGTGCTGTGCAGGTAAACCTCACTCCTCTGACCTTCTGAAGGTGCTTCAGCGACAGATGCTAGAGGCCATGGTCTTTAGCCTCCTTGTTAGAGCAACTGACTCCCATGCGGAAGGTCGCCGGTTTGATCCCAGCTTGAAGCGGATTGGGTGGTGTAGGACCGGCGGGGTAACAGATGCCATCATGTCAATATGGAAAAAAATCTCTGAGGAATATTTCCAGTCCCTTCTTGAATCTATGCCACGAAGGATTAAGGCAGTTCTGAAGGCAAAAGGCGGTTCAACCCAGTACTAGTAAGGTGTATCTAATAAAGTGGCCGGTGAGTGTATGTTTGAGTTCTTAATAATATTTACTTTTTTCTACACTTGCTGGATTTTCATGTTTAATTGTTTTTATGTCCAATGTAAAAAAGCTCTGTGTACCATACATCTGTATATAAATGTGGTAAGATTTTGAGAATCACTTTTTATCATTCCATAATTCAGAAAATACCACAAACAGGCAATAAATAAATTAATATAAAATAATAAAATCAACACATTTAGTTTTGGAGTAAAATATTATTATTATATATAATCAAACCAATTATGTATGAACAAACACATCTGTTAAAACCTTCATGAAGATTTAAATAAATCTGTGAAGATTTATGACTCATCAAGCAGAATGAGAAAACAGCCTTTAAAAATATTAATAATAAATATCTACAGACACAAATACATAAAGTGTGATAAAAGTAAAACAAAATGGAAATTCCTTAGAAGAGTCTAAAAAAATATATAAAAGCCCAAAATTTCAACATTGACTGGTGCCTGCAGTCAGCATCGTCTTTAGCCCAAATATTTAGTAAACAAACATTCAAGGAGAGTGGTGTGTGTAGAACTGTGTAAAGAATGAATGACATTCAATTTCTACAGAAACACGCTGAGCTTTCTAAGGAACTGTGAGCTTGGATTACACGCGGCTCTATTTGTGACCCACAGACAAAAGTCAAGGAAATGGAACAATTAGAAATGCCGGTCACTTCCTTATGTTTCCTCTCCTTTAACTAAACAGCCAAAAGGCCTTTTTAAATGACACCTCAGGACTGGCAATATCAAGCAATTAGTGAAAAACAACAAAGAAGGATCAAAATAACATGTAAAGAACATCTAGTTTCAGCTGATAATTATTTCCATTCTGTCAGCTTTTGCTTAATCAAATCTGTCATAGAACAGAGAGTCTCATTTATTTATGTTCCATCTACTCAGATTATCAAACAAATCGCAAAGGGTTGCTGAATATTTCCTGCTATTAAGGATACATTTTGAAAATATGCTACTTTTACAACACCCCTAGAGTTAAACAGACGAGTTTTACCATTTTTCAATCCATTCAACAAATTTCTGGGTCTGGTGGGAGCACTTTTAGATTAGCTTAGCATAAATCATTAATTCGAATTAGACCATTAGCATTTCACTCAAAAAAAAAATAAAATAAAAGAGTTATGTTTTTTCTATTTAAAGCTTGACACTTCTGTAGTTACACTGTGTACTAAGACCAACAGAAAATAAAGAGTGACTATTTTTTAGGGCGATATGACTGAGAGGGGTCTGGATGCAGACCTGGGGAAGTGCAATCTGAGCTGCATCCAATGCTTTTTTATGGGCTCACCTAACCCCACCCCTAAACTACCCTTCACAGTGACGTCACTCGCTCCATTTGAGTGCATTGTGTCTGACATTGCATTGCTGAGTGATGCAATCTCAGCTTGCATCACAAAGGCTGCATCCAGATAATATTGATATGACTAGAAACTATACTCTTATTATTAACTTTGTATATGTACCATGAGTGTAGCAGAAATAATAATAATACGTATTGCCTGAAAATAGTTCCCAGATGGACAAGGAACATTATTGAAACTCTTTTTTGATATTATTTTAAGCAAGATGCTAATGGTCTAATCTAATTCAATGATTTATGCTAAGCTAAGCTAAAAGTGCTCCTGGTAAACCCGAAGATCAACTGAATGGATTTAAAAAAAGGCAAAACTGAATTGTTTAATTCTGGAGGATTGTAAAATGAGCCTATTAAAATAGTGGAGTGTTCCTTTAAGACGGTAATAGTTCTTTAAAGCTCATTTCTGGTATTAACCACATTATGACATCATTAAAGAACATGAGTAATATGATGAAATCAAAATATTTATTTTCTGCCAGCGTGAAACTAAAATAAGAGCCTGCAGGCTTAACACTGTCAATGCATTATATTACAGTTGTTATACAATAAACGATGTCTTAATATTTAACTACACCATTGTTAGGCTTGCAATAAAATGTTCTTTGAATCACCAACACATTAAAAGCTGTTAAAGATTAATCATCTTATAGTAGTTGATGACGTCAATTAGATAAGTTGACTAGAAATGTGACCCTGGACCGCAAAACTAGTCTGCACGCTGCAATACATTGTATAGGACAAAATGGTTGCTTTTTAATGCAAAAAAACATTAGAAAATTAAGTAAAGATCATTTCCTAATGTAAATATAGCAAACCCCAATAGCTGATAAATAATTTGCATTGCTAATCACTTCATTTAGATAATTTGAAAGAGGATTTTTTTGTCTTTTTTTTATTTATTTATTTTTTTTTTTATTGTTTTGATTTTTTTAACCCTCAGATTTCAGATTGTTGTTTCCCATCCGGTTGTTTCCCATCCAAATATTGTCATATCCAAACAAACCATAAAGCAATGGAAAGCTCATTTATTCAGCTTTCAGGTCTCAATAATAATAATCATAAAGTTCACTTATGGCTGGTTTTGTAGCCTAGGATCACATGTGACATTTGCCTGACCTGCCATCAGAAACATTGACTCTCTTTCATCATTTAAATCAAGACTTAAAACTTACTCATTTAAGTTAATTGTATTTGCACTAGTTGCGAATACTTTTATATGATCCTTCTCTGTGTCCTTGAGTTGCCAGAAAGGCGCCTTTAAATAAGATGTATTATTAATATTTGTTTTACATTAGCCACATATTATAACTACAAAATATAACGTTTAATAATTTCAAACTGTTTGCAGATCACTCTTACCTTTAACCACATCTAAATGATGAACCTCTAGTCTGTCCTGCAGACCTAGTCTACAACAAACAGAAGAGGACACATATGGAATAGTTAACATAATAAATCATCAGGTCATAAAGATCCACATATAGAAGTGATGCTAGTGGTCACCTGTTTGCATTTTCCATTGTTAGACATACAGCATCCTGGCTCTGATCCAAAGCAAATACCCTGAGCTTGAAAAATCAAGGGTACAGATGTTACTGCACTACTCAAAGGAGCGAGATAAATAATTAAGAGAGAGAGACACTGAGTTCAAACCTGTGGAAGGCTGCGTAGTAAACTAAGAGAAATGGCTCCAGACCCACAGCCCACCTCCAGACCATGAAAATCCCCCCGAATAGACTCAAAGTCCTCTAGAACTAGACCAACCAGCTCCTGGATGAACATAAAACAGCAGGTTCAAATGGAAATAAATGTTTTCAAACACACAGTGTCTGTGTTTATACAAAAAGAGACGTCTATTTGAAGTTCACTATTAGTTTGTTGCAAAAATTCAGACGTTCTGCGTGTGTGTGTGTGGGTTTTTACCTCTGTTTCGGGACGGGGTATGAACACAGGAGGCTTCATCTTCAAGGTCAAGTCTCTGAAGTCCCATTCCTCAATCACATACTGTACAGGCATCCTTAAAAAAGCATGTGCACATGAGATGATAAAACATCAAGAGGCATTTTTATTTTTTTATTTCATGAGTGGATGCAGTAGATTGTTTTTTTTGTTTTTTTTTCACGAATTAACATCTACAGCTAATAACGGTCTAATTAATAAATATTTTGGGGATGAAATAATTTATTTAATTATTCTATTTCATTTGAATGGTGTAACTATCTAAATTTAGCAGTAGGTAGTGCTGTCACCTCACAGCAAGAAGGTCACTGGTTCGAACCTCGCCTCAGTTGGCGTTTCTATGTGGAGTTTGCATGTTCTCCCTGCCTTCGCGTGGGTTTCCCCCACAGTCCAAAGACATGCGGTACAGGTGAATTGGTTAGGCTAAATTGTCCGTAGTGTATGAGTGTGTGTGTGAATGTGTGTGAGGATGTTTCCCAGAGATGGGTTGCGGCTGGAAGGGCATCCGCTGCGTAAAAACTTGCTGGATAAGTTGGCGGTTCATTCCGCTGTGGCGAACCCGGATTAATAAAGGGACTAAGCCAACAAGAAAATGAATGAATATATATTAATACTTTACAATCGAGTATCATTTGTAATCATTAGTAAATCAGTTTTTTTAATTTGTGCCATTTCTACAGAAATCCAAGTTTTGGTTTTAATACTGCTTTAATAAACATCAAATATAACTGAGTTATTGAGAACTAACTCATGTTAAGAAACATTACTAACAAAAATATGCATAAACATATTGCTCCTTATGAGTTATTGCCTTATTATGGACCTCAATGCAGTAACCACATTAGCTACCATGATCTACAATAAAATTCTCTAAAGCATTTATGGATCTTAATTGTTAATTTCACTATGTAATAATTCATTATCAAAATAATAAAATTTTATATAAAATTTTAATATAATCAATATATCAAATAATTGTATCTTTAATAAGTTCAGCCATGGCAACACAGTGGCGCAGTGGTTAGCACTGTCGCCTCAAAGCAAGAAGGCCACTGGTTTGAGTCCCGGCAGGGTCAGCTGGCTTTTTGTGTGGAGTTCTCCCCGTGGTCGTGTGGGTTTCCTCCGGGTGCTCTGGTTTCCCCAACAGTCCAAACAAAAGACATGTGCTGTAGGTGAATTGAATACTAAACTAAACTGGCCATAGTGTATGAGTGTGAATGAGTGTGTATGGATGTTTCCCAATGATAGGTTGCAGCTCAAAAGGCATCCGCTGTGTAAAACATATGCTGAATAACGTTTTATTCTGCTTTGGCGACCTCTGATAAATAAAGGGACTAAGCTGAAGGAAAATGAATGAATGAATAAAAGTTCAGCCATTAACAGTTAAAAGCTCTCTCTCTCTCTCTCTCTCTCTATATATATATATATTGTGGCAAAGATTTTAAAATATAATCTGACATATTGGTTTAAGATGTAAAATAAATGTGAAATGATGTTTGTTTTGTGCCAATTAAACCAAAATAAAAAAATATATATTTTGAAAAATAAATAAGTAATTTTTAAAAAATAATCTATTTGGACGAACTGAAATGAATTAATGGGATCTTTCTGTGTCGTGTCAGTTTTTTGAACACATTTTTATTAAATTATCAATTTTTTCAATATTACAATTTTATCCATAATTATCAATCAAAAAATTTTGCTCCCCCACCCCTCTGGCCCCCCTAAATTTGGACGCGTATTTTTGTGTCACAACTAAAACGCCACAAAGAAGCGAGATCAGCCATCGGTGGCAGACTGTGTAGATATGACTAAGGCATTCGCTCTCTCTGCTTTCCTTTGACTTTTGTCAGTGACGGTGCTGCATGCATCAGTTTCCCACATTCGTCAGAAGTTAACCCCCAAATTGACACAGGTAATAAAAAGATTCAACTTCAGCCATGTTCATGTTGTAAAACACTATCAAAATGTCCACTGTTGATTATATTTGACTTTTGTTATCAATAATGATGTTAACACTTTTATTATAGGAAGTCCTCGGCTATGCAGAAGCTATTATTAATCAGAAATGGAGTGTACATTGTTTAACAGTCCTGAACTTACAGTCGGCAAGTACCGGAGTACAGATGGAACACATTGATCAAATTCATTTTTTTCAGTCACGCTCATGTATAAGTAACATTCAACTTGTTTAGTTTTGCCTTCATTCATTTTTGATTTAAGTTGTGACATAAAGTACCAGTCTTCAAACACATGATTTTTTACAACACACTTTTAAACATAATAGTTTTACCTACTAATTTCTAATAACAACTTTTTTGTCTTTCGCTTGGTGACAGTAAGTGCATGATATTTTACTAGATATTTTCCAAGATAACATGTAATTTTAAGACTTAACTAGGTTATGTTAACCAGGAAAGTTAGAATAGTTAGTCAAGCTATTGTATAACTGGTTGGTTGTTTAGACCAGGGGTTCCCAATCTTTTCAGCCTCCAACCCCCAAAATGACAATGCCAGTGACTTGCGACCCCCAATATCCTCTGAGGTGGTTATAAATATAGAAACCTTGCATGCAATGATGCACACACAACAATATACCCAAGTCTATTCTATGTTTAAATTTTAAGTATGTCCCTGCTGTAAATGGGCCAGACAGTTTAAACTGGTGTTATAAAATCAATCTGCTGCATCTGATGCTATTGCTGTGTCTTTAATATGATGCAATTACACCAGGGGTCACAATCCAATAGAACTAGTAAGTATAAGCTACCATAGTAAACAGCTATTTTTCTCCTTAGTAGGTTATGAATAAAATATGGTCATTCTTATGGTTTATTAAAAATAAATAGATATTTGGAAATAACCAGGTGACCCCCCCCCCCCCCCCCTTCATTGTCCCGCGACACCTCAGGGGGTCCCGACCCCCACTTTGATAACCAATGGTGTAGAGTAGACAATCAAAAATTATAAATATTTTAAAAATATATTATAAAAACTACTTTTATTCTAGAGAAACTGTAAGAAATAAGACTTATTATGACTGCAGAAGAATTATTTTTGTTTTACAGGAGATACTGTGAAAATGGCCTTGGTTTGTTAAAGATCACTTGGGAAACATCATTTTTAATTAACGGGAGGGCAAAAAAATTGACTTCAACTGTATTTATTAAAGTTTACAGGTGTAAAAATGTGGCTTGATGTTCTTGAATGTTAAAAGTGTGTTATCCTACAACAATACAAAGTTACTTGTCAAATAAATTAACATGGAATTTTATTATTTTGAGTTTAAGTTATTTTAATAGCTTATTTATGAAGACTGCAGAGTATTGCATGAAAACAAAATGACTTAGAATAATTGTTTGAGTCAGGGATTTCCAGACTCGGTCCTGGAGGGCCGGTGTCCTGCAAACCGGTGTTTAGTTCCAACCCCAATCAGACACAGCTGGCCTTGCTAATCAAGCTCTTATTAGGCCAGGGATGTTCAAACCCGGTCCTGGAGGGCCGGTGTCCTGCTGAGTTTAGCTCCAACTTGCTTCAAAACACCTGCCAAGATGTTTCTAGTATATCTAGTAAGAGCTTGATTAGCTAATTCAGGTGTGTTTGATTAAGGTTTGAGCTAAACTCTCCAGGACACTGGCCATCCAGGACCGAGTTTGGACACCCCTGATTTAAGTAGTTTGTGTGATGCATGTTAAAGTGTGCTCCCTAAAAGTTCAAGTGAACTCCCCCAGTTACTCTGGTCTAGAACCGCCACTGTCAATATAACACTGATAGTACTTGCAGCTTAAATACTTAAGTAAATAATTAAATAACAAGCAAACCACTAGCTTTGAATTGCACTAGACACGAGTAAGCATTGATCAGTGAGTGGAATAAGTTGAAATTCCTCAGAAATGGTTTAGTGTTAACTTTAGGAGAGTAAATGAATAACAAATAACATTTCAAAATGACTCGATTCAACAGAACTGTAATGAAGTTCTGTAAAATCCTACGCATGTGCATACAAAATCTTAATTATCTGTGAAAATCATAGAAAGCGAAACGCTGTAGTACCTTGTTAGGCGTTTTGAGCACAATTTCCACACAGTTTCTCTTTCTTTGTCAGTCAGGGTGTCTCGCAGTCTTTTCTTCTGAACACATTCCAGCTTTATGCAAGGAAAGACAAGGACGTGTCATCATGGAAATTGAAAGAAAAATGTTTCTGAATCGCTATTGAAAGTACTTTCTGAAATTCCCTTGACATTTCATCAGATAAAAGACTGAACGTTTGAACTGAAAATCCAAGCAATGATATTCTTATAAACAGTAAAATGCCTGAATACATTTTCAGCTGTACAATTCAGAAAACACACCCACACACTCACACACATATATAATTGTATAGTGATGCTGTGGCCTTTGGTTACACTTGGTCTTCACGATGCAAGAACATCAAGAACTCGCACACATAACAAAACAAATGCTAATCAAACATGATTAATATATTCATGAATGTTGCATTATAATACTAATACTTTTAAAATTTAAGTGACATAAAAATATAGAATAAAATAAAAAATTAAAACATAAATTATTTAAATTTTAAACATAAATGATTTAAAATTTAAATAACTTTTATTCAAATAACTTTTACAACATCACCCATTGCCTGAAAACAGTTCCCAAATGGACAAGGAACATTATTGAAACTCTTTTTAGATAATTTTTTAAGCAAGTCGCTAATGGTCTAATCCGATTCAATGATTTATGCTAAGCTAAGCTAAAAGCGCTCCTAGTAGACCCAGAGATTGACTGAATGGATTTAAAAATGGCAAAACTTAATTGTTTCATTCCGGAGGATTGTAAAATGAGGCAGCATGGTGGCGTGAAAAGCAGAATCGCCTCACAGCAAGAAGGTTACTGGTTCGAGCCTCGACTGTGTCAGTTGGGATTTCTGTGTGGAGTTAGCATGTTCTCCCCATGTTCGTGTGGAATTCCTCCAGGTGCTCCAGTTTCCCCACAGGTGAGTTGGGTAGGTTAATTGTCTGTAGTGTATGTGTATGAATTTGAGAGTGTATGGGTGTTTCCCAGTACTGGGTTGCAGATGGAAGGGTATCCGCTTTGTAAAACATGTGCTGGATAATAGTGCTGGGTGATTAATCGAAAAGCAAACGAAATTGACATTCAGAATCTATAATTAATATAATTTTTCCAAGTCAATTTTTTAATTACTCTGTTAAAGCTGAATTATACCTATTTGATTATGAATATTATTATTTATATTTAATATTATGATATTTTACTTCTGCCAAAGCTCGAGTACAGTCCGGCGCAGCCTTTGCATACCCACGCACCTCTCAAAAAATTTACTTACACATCACAACAACCCATATCGCAAGCTTTGTGATTGGTCTGTTTGGAAGCGATGATGACAAGGGGTGGCGCAGAGACGCATTTTAGGCAATGTGTGTTTTAATTTCAGTTGTTCAGCGTTGGTGTTCAATAAATAATCATGGATAGCAGATAGTGTGTGTGTTTACTTTAATTATTTTAAAATCAAGTAATGCACCCTTCATTCAGAAATTTCTCACTTGTAATTTGTGAGCATATTTACTTACTTTTATTTACATAAAATAAGTAATTAAAATAATACTTCATTAATTATAATTAATTGGCGCAGTGGGTAGCACAATTGCCTTACAGCAAGAAGTTGGCTGGTTCAAGCCCCTGCTGGGTCAGCTCGCATTTCTATGTGGAGTTTGCATATTCTCCCCGTGTTCGCATGGGTTTCCTAAGGGTGCTCCGGTTCCCCCCACAAGTCCAAAAACATGCGGTATACTGTAGGTGAACTGGGTGAGCTAAATTGGCCATAGTGTATGTGTGAGAATGAAAGTTTATGGATGTTTCTCAGAGATGGGTTGCGGCTGGAAGGGCATCCACTGCGTAAAATATATGCTGTATAAGTTGGTAGTTCATTCCACATCGATCCCTAATGAATAAAGGGACTAGGCCGAAGAAATATGAATGAATAACTTTTTAAAATGTATAAAAATTTTATAATCAAATTATTTTTGATATTGTAATGCACTAATAAATTAATAATAAAATAAAAAAGACATTTGGTGAATAGGTCATATCTACAATTTCTAAATAATTTGGAATATTTGAAAATAAATTGAAGCCAACTAATACATTTAAAATCTTTTAAATATTTTTTGTCCATTGCAAAATAAAATTGGATCATAATGTATTAATATCACATTAATATATGTAACATAGGTCTAATACATAATATAAAATACAGGTGTGTTCAAAATAATTAGAATATTGAGGGAAAGTTCATAATTCAATAATTTGATTTAAAAAGTCAAATTTGTGTATCAAATTTGTTCACTACACAAAAAGTGAAATATTTCAAGCCTTCACTTGTTTCAATTTGAATGACTATAAATTTAAAATGGAAAAAAACACAAATCCAGTATTTCACAAAGTTAGAATATCATGGCAAAGTTCAACACTGTAGGCTCCCAGTGTCTTAATTTAGTCCGCTAATTAATACAAAGCCTCGAAATGGTCTCAGTCTGGCTTAGTAGGCTTCAAAATCATGTGGAAAACTGCTGACTTGTCAGTTGTGCAAAAGACCATCATTGGAACCCTCCATTCAGAGGAAATGTCTCTGTTGTGCCGGGAGACGCACCCCTGCCATAAAATGCACCCCCTCTGAACTGATCATCTATTTTATCTAAATTTATTTTAAAAAAAAATTTTAAAAAAAATTATAATAATAATAATAGTAGTAGAGTTGGGACACTGAGAGTGACTAAGGTGAGTTTTATCAATTGAATCATTCCCTTACAGAAGATAAATAAATAAATGAATAAATAAATAAATAAATAAATAAATAAATAAATAAATAAATAAATTGATTGACTTTATATACAATACGGATGAGATTAAGTAAATTGTTTAATGTGTGGTTTAGTTTAAAACAGCAACAATAGTTAGTGAACTTATTTAACACAAGTTTCACTTTTGTAACAAATTCTTGAAATAAGTGGACTTTCCCTTAATATTACATTTTTTGGAACATACCTGTATAATATTATTACATATTAAAATAATAAATGTATCAAAGGGTTTAAACAAATATAGAAATTATAAATGAAGAATATTTATTTGTAATATGGCAGAATTGGACAAATCAATGGTCCTACTTTGGGGCTTTACTGATTTACAAAGTACACAGAATGAGACATAAGTTCTTTACCTTTTACATTGAACTAGAAAAATAATAATAAAAAAAATAAAAATAAAATAAATAAAAAACACTCTGGTGAGAGAGAAACTCACAGTTTTTTCGCCAAGTACATGAGATATGATGTATTGACTAGAGAGTAGAGGTTCCGAGATGCGGTGCAGGCTGAAGTGTTGAGCCCACAGACCGACCGCGCGCTCGGCTGTGATGCTGCGCTCTGCCGGTGGAGCAAGAGCGCCCTCTGCTGCACTACCACAGCACAACAACCGCACAACGTCACACTGTGAAATAAAACACAACACGGCACATCTTCAACTGTATATAAACACACTTATACACACGTTCTATGATTAATCGCAGAGTACTAGAGAGTGATCGTTATTAAAATGCATAGGAGATCAATCAAACATTTACCCTCTGTTTTAACAATCCACTCTTTCTGTGCATACATCGGCGAAGAAACCAAGTGGTCTTGAAAGTCATCGCTCCGAACTGTACACTGATCAAGAAAGAAACTAAATTCTGAGCTGCTACAAAATATCTGATAATAATGTAACCTGCATGTTTTCGTCCTTGAAGGCAACCATGTGCTGCGAGTGTTCGAATCGTTCTATTGAGTCGAATCGTTAGTTGGTGTAAAATGATTCGTTTGGATGATTAGGCCTACTTTGAGAATCGGTAGTTCAGTTGAAGCTTTACAGTTTATAACATTGTTCGTCCGATTAAACATACATTTTTTTTACCATTAGAAGTCAAGTATATCTGCGAGTAGAATAAAAAACGACCAGCTATGGATTCAAGAACGACGAAACAAATAGGGCTACATTTTAATTAACTATATTTTATATATTATGAGGCGAACAACCCTAAGAACGCAAATAAATGTTGCTTTCTTTCACGACGGTTTTGAGTCACGGACTGTTATGTAGGCCTATGTGTAATATGTCAAACATTTATCATATTTGAAGGCTATTGCTGTATTCGAATTAAAGGAAATTTAGCTACACAACTTAAATATCAACATGGTGTTAACTCCTGAACTGTTTAGTGAGCTTAAAATGAGGCTATATTTGGAGTATTCGTATGTGTATAAAATTTCGAGAAATAAATTTTATTCACAACAACGTCCATCTAAATTGAGTTTTTGTCAGGCTCCAAAGAATTACTGAAAAGTTTGAATCGATTCTTTAAACTGAGATGTTCAAATGAACCGATTCTTTCACATAAAGCGGACTTCCTGCTTTGAGTTTTAAAATAAAAGTCACATTAGTGATGTTTAAAAATCAAGCCAAATAAACATTTTCCGTTTTATATTCATTCATTCATTCATTCATTTTCTTTTCAGCTTACTCCCTTTATTAATCAGGGGTCGCCACAGCGGAATCAACGGCCAAGTTATCCAGCATATGTTTTATGCAGCGGATGCACTTCCAGCTGCAACCCAACACTGGGAAACACCCATACACTTTTGCATACACAGACAGACATAAGGTCAATTTAGCCTGTTCAATTCATCCAGAGGACACCCACGTGAACACGGGGGAGGACATGCAAACTTCACACAGAAATGCCAACTGACCCAGAGGGCTCGAAGCAGCGACCTCGTGCTACCCACTGCGCCATCGTGTCGCCCGTTTCCGTTATGTTTATGATAAATTATGTGAGTCTTTGTGTAAGACCTTTACACATTACGCCTGCGGTATCTGATCCTGACCACTAGAGAGCGCGAATGCATAGAAATATTACGACGTACATGATAACAATTATGATAAACTAATTTGAACTCTGACAAACTTTGCATATGAAAAACTTTAACTTTTTTTGAACAAATAATACACTGCATAAATGTTTTAATTTGTGAATAGGTATTTTATTATATAGCCTATTCACAAATATATTTTTGAATCTGCTTCTACTCTTTAAATATGCACCTTCAAACTAATATTTTTTAAATAGCTTAATTAACACAATTTTAAGTTTTTTTTTTGGGAACAATTTAAAGACTTATTTGTTTTATGTTAAAGCCACTTAAATTTGTAAACAATGAAGTTAACTGATAAATTAATTTATGCACACAGACTTTTAATTTCAGTCAGGTTAATTGTCATCCCATACAAATCTCTGTGTTAAAGTTCTGATTTCTTTAAAAAACAGAAATTAATTTGAGTATTTTCAATGGAGTTTCAGTGCTAGCTTGTTGCTAATGATGGTGCCTGCCACCTGCGTTTAAACGATCTTTCCTTTCTTATTACGCTTTGACACCCAAATGAATGCTGAAGTTTATTTAACTGAATGTATTTTAATTGCATTACAACATCAATGCTGTAAAAAACCTTGAAAATAGTCACATTAAGATTTCACTGGAAGTTCATCACTGACAAACACTAGCTGTGCATATAGCCCATTGATTTGTTGGAACAACATGAAGAAATTGTGTTTCTTCAAACCAGCATTTTTTTTTACACTGTAGCTTTGTTTTCTTCTTCTTCTTCTTCTTTTTCTTCTTCTTCTTCTTCTTCTTCTTCTTCTTCTTCTTCTTCTTCTTTTACTTCTTCTTTTTCTTCTTCTTCTTCTTCGTTGAAAGAAATATAAATAAAATTACATTCATCTTTCTGGCATGTTGTAAATCTTATCTTGTAAAAAAAAATTGTAAAACTTTATGAAACATCTTAAGTTGTTTCCATTTATGTTTTTTCCTCCATTATATAATATTTAAATCTGCTCCTACAGTAGCTATATTTATATTTAGCAAGAAATATTAATAAAGTTTTACAATTTACTAGGCCTGTCAAATTAATCAATATATCGACGTATCGTAAAACATGCGGACATGTCTTCAATCATTTTTGGGGATGCAATATACATCGTCCATACATGAAAACCAATTCTAGCCCTTTTCAGCTGATTGCGCAGCCTCTCTTTCTCTGTTGGAGATGTCAGTATATGGTTAAAAAACACTATAATATTTACTATAAATTACTATAGTATATTTTCATGTTTGTGCCTGTTACTTTTTTCTAGTTCTTTTCACCCTGGGCACTATTGTTAACATTTAATATTATTTATTTATTTGTTTAAGATATGCAATTTTACAATCTGATTCCAATATCTAATTATTAAATTGCTAAAATGACTATAATTAAATGAAATATTATTAATAATAAAATGTTATGTTTTTCGGAAGAGTGTACTTGCATCATGATTTTTATTATGGTGTCAAAATGGTTTCAAAATGACAGTAATATCGTTTATCTCAATACATTTTGTTGCTATATATCGTTCCACAAAAAACAGACATCGTGACAGGCCAATTTACATACAAATGCATGGTTTAATGAAAATTGATCCATCTTTGCCTGCTAATTTGAATTAAATCTGCAATTTCATATTGCTAACAACAATGTCTGTGTTATTTGGCTAGTCTTAAACTATTGTTCAGCTTTTTTTTTTTTCCATCTCAAAGGGTTCAATTTTAGCTCATGCATATTTCCCAGTATTGTGACAACACAAACTTCAAAGGCAAAGTTGTGAAAAGACTTGTTGTGAGCAGTGGGCGCAGCGGAGATCACGTGAGGAGAGTCTGCATTGGGGGATGGAGGACTGGTGCTGTCAGCCAGATGGGACTGATTGTTATTGTGTGCTGCAGGGGTTGCAGTGTGAAGCCTCGGTCGATTTGTGAGCAGCACCACACATGATTTCAACTACATGGCCTGTGTTTACCCTGAAAACACTGTCTGTCTGAATGAACACTCTCATTATGTGAACAAGAAAGACGATATCTTAAAAATGAGCACAGAATATGGAAGCGAAGGAAACGAAAGTGAGGTTAAAGTACAATACTGAAGGATACAAAATGTGTTAGTAATAAAAGAAAAGGAGAAATGAATAGAAGTATGTTTAAAACGTTTCTACATGTCTTAAGTTTTTAGAAATGTTTTTGTCCTTCAAGCAGATCTGCGATAATAGCTCGCAGTGTGTGTGTAATTAAGGGAAACTGGTTATGCCTGCCAAGGAAAGTGAGTGGTTTGATGGCCTGCGATACGCCACAGTTCAACTCAGACACTTTAAAGAAAATAAATGCAACTGTTTGTCAGACCCATTGGTCATCATGACGTTAACCATATCTGTAAACATTGTTGATTAACTGCAATAAATATTTATACTACTTTATTTTTACTAAAATTAGTCTTTTAAAGAAGTGCTATTTACGTTTTTGGTGCCAGACCCTCCCAAATATTATGTACACTTGAAGCCAAAATGATTAGCTCTCCTGTGAAATTCATATTCTTTTTCAAAAATTTCTGAAGTGATGTTTTAGAGAGCAAGGACATTTTCACACTATTTCATTTTTCTTGTGGAGAAAGTCTTCTTTCTTTTATTTTAGCTAGAATAAAAACAGTTTTTAATTGTTGAGATAAATTGTAATATTATTGAAAATATTTTTACCCCCCTCAAGTTTATGTACTTTTTAATTTTATAACCCTCCAGTGAATGCTGTCACTAGTATTCACTATAATATACACATATATGCAGTTGATGTTGAAATTATTAGCCCTTCTGTAGATTTTTTTATTACATTTTACAATTTTAAAACTTGAACGTTTATTTTTTTAATAATAATATTATTCTATTTATTTTTAAATATATGTTCAAAATATAAAATATTAAATATAATATTAAAATAATTTTTAAAATATGTTTAAGATAATTTTTTTGATTGATTATAGAACAAACTAGTAATCTAATAACTTCCCTAAATAACCTTACTTAAATAGTTAACCTAAACAAGTTAACCTATTTAAGAATTTACTTGCATTTTAAGCTGAATATACACTCACTTTATTATGCTCTAAATGCAAATTTCTGATCAGCCAATCACATGGCAGCGACTCAGAATGAGGAAGAAAGGTGATTTAAGTGGTTTTGAACGTGGCATGGTTGTTGGTGCCAAATGGGCTGGACTGAGTATTTCAGAAACTGCTGATCCACTGGGATTTTCCCGCACAACCACCTCTAGGGTTTGCAGAGAATGGTCCGAAAAAAATATCCATTGAGCGGCATTTCTGTGGGCGTAAATGTCTTGATGATGCCAGAGGTCAGAGGAGAATGGCCAAACTGGTTTGAGCTGATAGAATGACAACAGTAACTCAAATAACCACTCATTACAATCGAGGTATACAGAAGAGCACCTTTGAATGCACACCATGTCCAACCTTGAGGCGGATGGGCTACACCAGCAGAAGTCCACACCGGGTGCCACTCCTGTCAACAGGAAACTGAGTCTACAATTCGCACAGACTCACCAAAATTGGACAGATTGGAAAAATGTGCCTGATCTGATAAGTTTGATTTCTGCTGCAACATTCGGATGGTAGAATCAGAATTTGGCATCAACAACTTGAAAGCATGGATCCATCCTGCCATATATCATTCGTACAAGCTGGTGGTGGTGATGTAATGGTGTGGGGGATATTTTCTTGGGACACTTTGGGCCAAATTGAGTACCAATTGAGCATCGTGTCAACACCACAGCCTACCTGAGTATTGTTGCTGACCATGTCCACCCCTTTATGACCACAGTGTCCCCATCTTCTGATAGCTACT